GGGCCTGTCGAGTGGTATTAAAAGTCCCGGTCCCAAGTGTTACCAAGGAGGCCGGCGCCATCTCAGGGGCCATGACGGTTTCGGCGCCCCACCCTGAGGAGCTTACACCCCTCCAGCAGGTGATCCCTTCCGAGGCTACCTGGATCGCTTTCCACTGAGACTCGCCTTCTTCTGGCCCTGAGAACGCATGTCAGGGTCCCCAGTAGCAGCCGATATGCGCATGCGCACTCCTAGGCAAGGCGGCCACTCCCAGAAGTCTCCGGGGCTCGGGCGTTGGGAGGGGCGCGCCATCCCAGTGGTCACCGCCGTATTTCTCGTAGGTTTTTAGGACTCTGGACCCCACTTCTCACCCGTGCCTGCAGTCCTGACAGTTCTGGCCTGGACTACATATTCCACAGGCAACGGAGAAAACTCGGACCCTTGGCTCCGGTTCCGGGACCTCTGGCTCTGCGCTGCGCGAGACTTGGTTTTACCTGAAGAAGGCGGCGCAGGTCACTGCGGGAGCCTCTGCAGCCCCAGCCCGCCGCCCGCGTGGGACCCTGCGTGGCGGTGAGAGTAGGGCTGCAGGAGGCGCTCAGAGCACGGAGGCCCCAGGCGCGGGCCGGGCGAGTGTCCCGCCTCCTCAGGCCCTAGGGTGCTGGAGATGCGGAGGAGGGGCCCGTCTCTAGGAGACAGGCGGGGAGCGTGAGAGACCGCGCAGCGGCGACAGGACCCGCGTGCCTGTGTGACGTGGGTGCAGTTGTGGGACTGTGAGGGGTGCGTGGTCGACCTTGTGTTACCTGGACATGCCGTGCGTGTCCTTTGCAAAGCGTGCTTCGCAGGGTTCTGTGGGGTCTGCTGACTCTTGGCTCCAGGTTCCCTGCTGCTTCCTGTGCCTTCTTCTCAGCCTAGTACGACTACAACAGAGAAATGGTCCCAGTGGGAAATCAGATACTGAGTCTTAGATGAAGATTTCCAGTGAGAAGAAGCAGATAGGATGGGAAGCTTAGAGAAGTAACTGCCCTTAAGACAGGTATGATAGATTCTGTTAAATAAAAAATTATTCGGTGACACTTGTTAAAGCATGCAAAGAAGCCTTTATTCAGGACCATCGTGGTAGGTATTGGGACCCCGGCTGTGGGATTTTGCAGTGGGTAAGAAACACTGAGCTCAAGTCCGAATTCAGCATGAACAAGTGGGAATTTATAGCCAAGAAGGTTAGGGATCACTGGATGAGAAATTACTAAGAGGAAATGTCTGGGTTAAGGAAGATTCTGACTAAACGCAGCTAAAAGGATTATTTCTGGAGAGAGAGAGACCTGGGTGATAAGACTTTATCACCTGGGGGACGGTGGAGGATGAAGATACAGAGGCGAAGGGGTCTTGCTAAACTGACTTAGAATAGTTCTTTGCTATAGCCAGATTTTACAGTGAAGTGTACAGATGGACCTAGCTGAAGATGTAATAGCCTGACTAAAGTTTGGCAGAGTTTGTCAGTTTCGAGTGTAGGATTCCCTCCTGAAAAGGGTTGTTACTCCGCCCCCATCTCCCGGTTCTTGGAGTTTCATTTACATGTTTAACAGACACCGCCTTCTTGAATTCTGACCCTAAGAACCTGCAGTGAAGGATGATTGCAGATTCCATCCAACATACTTCCTTCTGGTTATGTGTATGAAATTATGCGCCTGTAGTCTTGGAGGGGGGAAACGTAAGCGCTAAGTATTATGAGGCAATTTTGGATATTCCGTTTTGGATTTCTGTAGATCAAAAGCAACAAGAATATGAACTTAACCGTGTTGTGAAGGAAGTGAGCCAGAATTTAAGTTTTCCAAAACAGGAATTCTCAGTTATTGGTGTACTGTCTGTAGACCAGTGCCCTTATGGGCATAAGGGACATCACAAACCCCCTGAAATTCTCTAAAGAATTGCTGCACATGTTTGTTAATTTGCATTTTTCAAGGATGTCCATAATCCAGATTATTTAGACTTGAGTTTTAGATCTGGAATCAAGGAGTTTTATACCTTTGAATGGTTTTGCAGAAAACTATTGATCAAGATTATAGGAATGGTTAAGAAAATTATACAACATCCATGGGATCGGATATTATACAGATAATAAGATTTATGTTTGTAAAGAATCTGTCACAGGAAAAATAGCTGTGATCTAATGTTTAACACTGTTTAGACTTACAGTGATGGATCACAGTTCTCAAAATGTTAAACTATACATGCAGCTCATTTTTAAAAAATGGAATTTTGCAAAATTTGTGCAAGGATTGTATCCAAAATGATTATTTAATTGGTTTTTCAGAGAAGAATGGAAGGGTTGTGGCCACATTTATTGAGCATATAATGTGTGCCCCAAATTACTTGACCTATTCTGTGTACCTGTTCCCATTAAACGTGCAGAAGACATTTCCCTGTCCATTTAGGAAAGAATCTTCGTAGTGAATTGTTTCTAGTTATGTAGAAGAAACACAGCTAAAGGCTGTTCAAGAAGACAAAGTGTTACATGTTTTAGGCACACTGATTTTTCATTCTAGGCCTAATATTTAGATTTCTTTTATGACACATGCACCCTCTCCCCGTAATGATACTTCTAGAAATAGTTTATTACTGCTTTGAAATATCTTGAAGTTATATTTATGATGATGGAATTAAGGAAGGTTCATCACAAAAATTTCATTCCCTAAGATAGTTTCGAAGAAGAAAGTTAGAATAACCCAAACCTCCCTGCCCAGAGATAATCACTTTAAAAATGTGGGTGTATATGTTTTCAGTTTTCATGCGTGAGCACTTGTGTGTGGTTTTGTCTTTACAGAAGAGAATTAATGAAATAGACAAAGACTCCAACTTTAGTTAGAAAAAGGAATCTAACCCAACCGTGGATATAAAACCAGTATGATGAGACACCATTACTTTGGACTGAGCTCCTGCACTAGGCTCCAACAGACCAGACTAAACCAAAATGAAGTTACTCATACTAAAAGCCACATTACAAAACTGAAACTTTAAGGGAGCAGGTAGAGTGCCAAACAGATCAGTTTTTCCTGAAAACAGGAGATTCCAGCCTACCTGAGTCAGCATAATAAGGAAATGACCTCCGCTTTAACCCTTGCAGAAAAAAGTAAACTGAAGTAGCCTGATGGTCACCAATTTTTTTTTCTATAGTTCTCTTATTTGTTCCCACCTTACAAAATCCACTGTTTCTCCATTGCTCAGTAGGAGCTCTTATGGAGGCTACCCCTTTCATGAATCACAAATAAAGCCCATTAGATCTGTAAGTCAGTGTGTTGTAACTGAGTCTTTTGACATGGGATTTCATATATCCCTGCATATTAAGAGGAGAGCGAGCTACCAGGGACCTCCTTCAGAGGTGAAAAACAATCCAAGTTTTTACACCTTTTAGGTATTAAAAATGCAATTTAAAACTTAACAGGGCACGAATTATGAAGTAAGACATCCTCTGAGAATTAGTAATTTATACAAAGTTACTGCAGAAAAAAGCATGGTAATCTGTGATTTCCAGATGTCTTGCAAGTATGGTAATATTTCCGAAGATAGTTCAGTAATAATAATAAATAGGTATTGTAATATTTACAAATACTTACATAAATGTTTGTATTTGGCAGGAAAATAAGATTCATTCTCCTTAATATTCTTGACCTAGTACTTTATTAGATCCAGTTCTTTGAATTTATGTGAGGCTGAGTGGTATCTTGTTTTCTGTACCTGCTGGGGACTGAGGAAAGGGGCATTTTCTCCTTACTTAACCTGATCATCTTTAAAACAAATTTTTTTTTTTTTTTCAGTTGGAGTTTCAGTCTGTGGCCCAGGCTGGAGTACAATGGCGCGATCTCAGCTCACAGCAACCTCCGCCTCCCGGGTTCCGCAATTCTCCTGCCTCAGCCTCCCGAGTAGCTGGGACTATAGGTGCCCACCACCACGCCTGGCTAATTTTTTGTATTTTTAGTAGAGATGGGGTTTCACCATGTTAGCCACGATGGTCTTGATCTCCTGACCTCGTGATCTGCCCACCTCGGCCTCCCAAAGTGATGGGATTATAGGCGTGAGCCACCGCGCCCGGCCACCCTATCCCTTATTTGCTGATGGGGAAACAGGCACTGAGATGTTAGCATCTCTCATAGGGCACAACTCGGTATCACTTTTGAGAGTGAGAAGACAGCCCGTCTTCCTAATTTTACCGGGATACCAGGTAACTAATTTGTGTATACTTTTTGTTGTTGTTTGCTTTTTGTTTGTTTGTTTTTGAGACAGGGTCTCACTCTGTCACCCAGGCTGGAGTGCAGTAGCATCATCTCGGCTCACTGCAACCTGTGTCTCCTGGTTCAGGCGATTGTTGTGCCTCAGCCTCCCAAGTAGCTGGGATTACAGACGCCTGCCACCATGCCTGGCTATTTTTTTTTTTTTTTTTAATTTTTAGTAGAGACAGAGTGCATACGTTTTTAAATCTGTCTTATTTAGTAACTCATCCTTGGTACTATTTTCCTTTGATTTATGATTTAAAATCAATCTTACTAATAATGGCATAGGTTGTTACCATAGTCGGGAGAATAATATGTTTAAACTACTCCCTACTGTGTTTTAATGTTTGTATTTTTAATTTCAATAGTCAAAAATTATCTTTGATGAATGTATTGTACATATTGGTTGTATACTTCTATAGTTATTTCCTTTTAGAAATTCCTACAAGTGAATTTTGTGGTAAAAAAAAAAATCTTACTTTTGGGCCGGGCACAGTGGCTGACGCCTATAATCCTAGCACTTCGGGAGGCTGAGGCGGGCAGATTGTGAGGTCAGGAGTTCGAGACAAGCCTGGCCAACATGGTGATAACCCCGTTTCTACTAAAAATACAAAAATTAGTTGGACGTGGTGGTGGGCGCCTGTAATCCCAGCTAGCTACTCTGGAGGCTGAGGCAGGAGAACTGCTTGAAACCGGAAGGCGGAGGTTGCAGTGAGTCAAGATCACGCTACTACACTCCAGCCTGGGCAAAAGAGCAAAACTTTGTCTAAAAAAAAAAAAAAAAAAAAAAAAATCAGACTTTTATTAAGTGCTTCTAGTATGCCACACTTGAAAATTGCAGTATTTGAAATGGGACAATCACTTAAAAGATAAAGAGTTGCTTCCTTTGAAATATAATCTATGAAGGCAAGTCAAATCTGAATAGGAGGAAGTTTAAGGCAGTATGTGATAGAGTCCATTTGGAGAGATTTAGGTGACCTACGTGGTGATGTCACATAACAGAGACATCAGTCTGACTATAGCAATAGTCAGGCTATGAACAAATTATACTGAGTCTATGGGCTGTGTATGGTGATAAACAGGTTTATGCTATATCTTTTAAACCTTGTAGTTTTCACTGTATTGATATTGGATGGAAAGCAAAATTAATTGCATGAGGAAATTCAGCAGCTATCTGGAGGATATCCTGACCTACCTGCCAGATTTAGGAAAAAAATAAACCCTTCTGTTAAGAAGACCTGAAGTAAAACTGTATTGAGGCCATCATCCATTCACAGAGAAGATTACTCAGGGACAGATCCCCATGCTGTTGGAGACACAATTCTAACATATCTAAGAACCAGTGATGAAGTGAGTTTAGGTTTGGCGACCCAAAAAAACCCACAGAAGATAAGCCATTCAGTAAAATGATTTTAAATTTAGAGAAAACATAATTTTGTTGAAATTCCCACCTTAACAAATTGGAAACACATACACGTTTCAAGTTAATATGTCCATGCTTACAATAATTACGAAGGAAACATTAATAATGAAAAAATCAAGAGCACACAAAAGTATAAGGAATGCTGTTTATCAAACTCCGATTTTGGGAAGTTGCTAAGCAAAGGTTTATTTACTTTTCCTTTAGCTTTATTTAGTTGTTTCATGTATTGAGCCAAAATGGAATACAAAGTGAGATATAAGCACTATAACTATAAGCACTTTTTGGTTTCTTGGAGACAGAGTCTCGCTCTGTCACCCGGGCTGGAGTTCAGTAGCACAATCATGGTTCACTGCAACCTTGAACTCCTGGGCTCAAGTGATCCTCTCGCCTCAGCCTCCCGGGTAGCTGGGACTACAGGTGCATGCCACTTTGCCTATTTTATGATTATCTGTCTGTCAGCCTTTCTCTCTGTATTGATGGATATGTATTTATATATTTTACAAAAACAAATGTATTGGTCAGTGTGATCTCTCTGTTGACATTGTTTCTGATATTTTTCATGTCCTTGAATTTTTCTCAATTTCACATTTAATGACTACTTTGTATTCTAGGACAGTGATAGTCTGTTATATATTTAACTAGGAAGCTTTGCTAGGCTCAGAACGCTGAACAGTCACTATCTGTCTCCAATATCTTGACCAATTTCACCCAATTTCAAGACTAAAAAGAGGTTCTGATATGGATGATGTGCCCTGTTTTTACCTTTAAAGGAGGGAATGGAAAGAGGTAGATCTGCTCAAAGCAAGACAGAGCTGCCTAATCTGAGGTCCACATCTGCCTCACCAACATCATACATTGGCCAGAACATTTCCCACTGAATTATCTGGGTCTGGTTTCCATGACAGTATGTTTCTGATGTATAACTCTGTGTAGGTGAGACCCTTGGGTAGTCAGGGAGGAAATGGGTTTATCCAGAATCTTAATCTTCCCAAATTGTATGTAAGAGGAGGTAGTTTGGAACTTGGAATGGAAGAGGAAAACAGCACTATTACCTTGAGTCCTATGGGGAACACTGAAGCACAGCTGGTCTCAAGGTCTTCTCTTCTTTCAGGTCTTGGTTTTTTGACTTTGCTCTTCTGGTAGAGAAACCCTGAGGACTGATCAACTCTTGCCAGTCTCAAACCATGGCCTGTGTAAGTTGATATTTCTCGCCATGTTGATGTGTGTGTGTGATTTTTTAGGTCATGTACGTCTTTTCATCATTTTTCCTGAAGTTACCTTCGTGAGAGGGTGCTCAGTTAACCTAATCCCCAGTTCTCATTCTTCCCGTAAAATATGTACCACGTCACCCAGCATCCTCGCTAGGTGGGCCACTGCAAATTCACTAGCGTTCGTGTTGTTATTGACCAAATTACTCAATGTCCTCTAGGTGCCCATTCTTCTATTTTGGGCAGTGATACAGAGGAAAGGAGTCAAGTTCTTTGAGTACAGATATACGCGTTTCAGGTCGGTTTTGTCATTTGTTGCAATTGAGACCACAGTTCCATTTGACCATCCATGGGAAGTCTTTGAAATTTTCCAGACATTTGAGTTTTTCAGCTAGATAAGGTGGAAATTGGCACTGAAGGATCCAAATCTTCAGGTAGGATAAAATCTCATGCTTCGTGTGATTAGTCTATTGGATTGGAACTTGTAAACACAGAAGTCGTGGATCTGGATAAAAAGTCCTGAAAAACAAATACCATAAAATAATGATGTCATGATAAAATCCTTTGTCAAAACAAAAATGCTCATGGTGAGATTTGACGTAATGAAGTACTTGATGCTTGAAGAGATTATTAATTTTAAGGAAACCTAGTTTTCTGGAGTCAGACACGCGAGTCAGATGCACTACTGTTGCCCCACGAGGTCACAGGAAACCTAGTTTTCTAAAATTGAGAATCTGTACCATATTTTGCATAAAACATCTCTTAATTAAAAATTTAAGTTCTCTTCCAAGTCAAAATATTCCTCAGTTAACATACATTGATTGAGAATTTATGAGGCAGATACCACCAGGGCGTTATGTGCATAATAATGATTTAGTTTAATAGAAAAACATTATTTTGTCATTTTCAAAAGGGTCAGATACCTAAGAAGTGTCCCAGAACAGGCAGAAAGTTTTGTCTGTGTTTCAAGCTTCTTCAAAAATATGCATAAATTCTACTTCTTTCCCTTCCCTGATAGCATATATTTCTGGTCTGTGTGCTGGTTATCTTGCTCTTCTGCTGCAATGCAGTCCTTCATCTCCTCCACTCCATTTTCGTTTTTCTTTTCTTTTTTCTTTTTTTTGAGACGGAGTTTCACTCTTGTTGCCCAGGCTGGAGTGCAATGGCACATTCTCAGCTCACCGCAACCTCTGCCTCCCAGGTTCAAGCGATTCTCCTGCCTCAGCCTCCTGAGTAGCTGGGATTACAGGCATGTTCCACCATGCTGGCTAATTTTGTGTTTTTTTTAGTAGAGACGGGATTTCTCCATCTTGGTCAGTCTGGTCTTGAACTCCCAACCTCAGGTGATCCACCCGCCTCAGCCTCCCAAAGTTCTGGAATTACAGGCGTGAGCCACCGCGCCTGGCCATGCACTCCATTTTCTTTTAATTTTTTTGAGACAGAGTCTCGCTCTGTTTCCCAGGCTGGAGTACAGTGGCCTGATCTCGGCTCACTGCAACCTCCACCTCCCAGGTTTAAGTGATTCCCCTATCTCAGCCTCCCGAGTAGTTGGGACTGCAGGCATGCACCACAACGCCTGGGTAATTTTTTGTATTTTAGTAGAGACGGGGTTTCACCATGTTGGCCATGATGGTCTCAATCTCTTGACCTCATGATCTGCCCGCCTCGGCCTCCCAGAGTGCTGGGATTACAGGCGTGAACCACCGCGCCCGGCCCCTCTATTCCATTTTTTAAGTCTTTTCTTTAATTTCCCCAGTAATACGTGGGTTTGCTGTTTCGATTTGCTGTTTCAGGAATCGATAACATTCGGGGATGTGGCCATAGACTTCTCTCATCAGGAGTGGGAATATCTCAACCTGGTTCAGAAGACCTTGTACCAGGAGGTGATGATGGAGAATTACGATAACTTAGTCTCACTGGGTATGTTTATCAACCTGGAATGATTTAGAATAATTTAGAATCATCTGTTCTGTAGAATACATTCTTTTTCTGTTGTGATTTTCAGGGCTGCCTTTTAAGAAACTAAATTTGTTTTCTCTATTTCTATTGAGGTGGTTTCAGCTTTGAGTCAGCAATGGCAGCTCCTTTCAACACTTTCATCTTCTCTATCTTTCGGTGACATTCACTCCTCCCTCTGATATTTCTTTTATTTGTCTCTTTAACCCAGAAAGTGGGTTGAACCAGTGGTTTAGCTTAGAATTTTCTGATGTTCATTGTAGAACCATTGTCAGGGCGTTCAGGTTTCTTATTTATTTTGTGTACAGAATTGCTTTAGTGCTCCATTTTATTATCTGATCCATTTGCAGCGATATTAATTTGACAGAAGGTGCTGAATTGCTATTATTATCAAAAGAGATAGCCTGTTCATATAGTCATAGAGTGGTGGATTGGATAAATTAAACTTACTTAAAACTGAGGAGAAAACAGTCCATTTCCTGAGACAGAATTTATTTGATTTATAGTTGAAACTTACAATCCATGAAAATTACGTGTAAAATGGGATGAATATGCTATAGATATCTCTTCTTGTATACTCTTAGTAAAATAACTGCAGTAGCGTAATGTGAACAGCTAGCATTGTGATTTCCACACAGACATTTTTCTAAGTACTTTACTCATATATCAAGTAATTTAATACTCCCAACAGCCTTACTATTTTCCCAATTTTATAAGTGAGAATACTGAGCACAGCAGTGTAAGTAACTTGCCCAAGGTCACACACAGCTGGAAAGTGACAGAGTCAGGAATTGATCCCAGGCTGTTTTTTTTTTTTTTTTTTTTTTTTTTTTTTTTTGAGATGGAGTCTTCTGTCACCCAGGCTGGAGTGCAGTGGTGTGATCTTAGCTCACTGCAACCTCCACCTCCTGGGTTAAAGTGATTCTCCTGCCTCACCCTCCCTAGTAGCTGGGATTACAGGCACTACCACCACACCCACAGCTAATTTTTGTATTTTTAGTAGAGATGGTTTTGCCATATTGGCCAGGCTGGTCTCCAACTCCTGACCTCAGGTGATCCATCCACATCAGCCTTCCAGAGTGCTGGAGTTATAGGCATGAGCCACCACACCCAGCCAATCCCAGGCTTTAGAGTATGTGTTTTCAACCACTTTATGCTTGCTTACTGCAGTTAGAGGACATATACGTTTAAATTTCTTTTGAGGCCAGTCATGGTGGCTCATGCCTGTAATCCCAGCGCTTTGGGAGTCCAAGATGGGCAGATCACGAGGTCAGGAGTTCGAAACCAGCCTGGCCAACATGGTGAAACCCCATTTCTACTAAAAATACAAAAATTAGCCAGGTGTGGTGGCGCATGCCTGTAATCCCAGCTGCTCAGGAGACTGAGGCAGGAGAATCACTTTAACCTGGGAGGCGGAGGTTGCAGTGTGCCAAGATCGCACCATTGCACTCCAGCCTGGGTGACAGAGCGAGATTTTTTGAAAACCAGCAAACAAAAAGATTGACTCTCCCTGGGTGATCTTTTTCTTATTTCTCTCACTCTTCTCTAAAATCTTATTCTGTATCACTTTGACCTTTCATTTTTTGCAATTGTAATTTTAAATTTGACCTTCAAATTTGATTTCTGTATTTTGTGGCACTTCTTTTCTTTGTAAGCAGGACATTCCATGTCTAAGCCAGATTTAATCACCTTATTGGAGCAAGGAAAAGAGCCATGGATGATTGTGGGGGAAGAAACAAGAGGAGAATGTACAGGTAAGAGGAAGTCAGGCAGGGGCAGCCATTTTTGTATGTAAATAGCCCTCATGGAAGTGGTCATCTCATTTGGTAAACGCATCCTTGAAACATTAGTCATAAAGTTCCCTCCTCAGCAAGGAGGCTTCTGATGTGGAGAAGAAATGGATATCTCAGCATGAAATAGCCAATGAAGGCCCAGCGCAGCGGCTCACGCTTATAATCCCAGCACTTTGGGAGGCCGAGGCGGGCAGATCACCTGAGGTGATCCTCCACAGTAGCTAGGACCACAAGTGCATACCACCACATCTGGTCATTTTTTTTTCTTTAGAGATGAGGTCTCCCTACATCGCCCAGACTGTTCTCGAACTCCTGGGCTCAAGTGTTCTTCCTGCCTTAGACTCCCAAAGTGCTGGGATGATAGGTGTGAGCTACCATGCCTGGCCCAGAATTGTTCTATATCCCCTGCCCAACCTTTTTTTTTTTTTTTTTTTTTTTGAGATAAGGTCTCACTCTGTCACCCAGAGCAGGAGTGCAGTGGCACAGTCTTATCCTCTGCAATATCTGGGACCACAGGTGTGTGCCACCACACCCAGCTAATTTTTGTATTTTTGTAGAGACAGGGTCTCACTATGTTGCCCAGGCTGCTCTGGAATTTCTGGGCTCAAGTGACCCGTCTCAGCCTCCCAAAGTGCCAGTATTACAAGTGCAAGCCACCTCGCCCGGCCTGTTCTATATCCTCACTGTGGTTATGAACAACTATGTGCGTTTTTCAAATCTCATAGAACTGTATATCAAGAAAAGTGAATTTTGGCCAGGCTCTCTGGCTCACACCTATAATCCCAGCACTTTGGTAGGCGGAGGCAGGCAGATCACTTGAAGACAGGAGTTCAAGACCACCCTGGCCAACATGGCAAAACCCTGTCTCTACAAAAAATATGAAAAATTAGCTAGGTGTGGTGGCACTGCCTATAATCCCAGTTACTTGGGAGGCTAAGGTGGAAGGATTACTTGAGCCTCGGAAGCAGAGGCTGCAGTGAGCCGAGATCACAACATCACATTCCAACCTGGATGACAGAGTGGGACCCTGTCTCGAAAAAAAAAAAAAAATTAAGAAATTCTTGTCAAGGTTACAACCTGAGCCGTCTGGCCACGGTGGGGAAGAGAGTGCTAATCATAAGATTACAGAAAGCATCCCCTCTGCAATACCTTACCTCCTTATCAACAGAGCTACAGAATAAAAATTGTGGATTCCAACTGAGAGACCTGCAAGACAGTCTCCATTTAAGAAAGAATTGCTAGGGAAACCCAAAGACAAAAGAGAAGACATAAATAAAAACTGGAAGAATTGAAACTGTAACACAAACAGCTACAGCACACAGTGAACACGGCCTAACTCCCAGGCAGACAAACCTCAAACTTTATGCTGAAGGTGTATTCACCTCAGTTCCTATTACGGGACACATCGCGGCCAGCTATTTCTTTCTTTTTTCTTTTCTTTTTCCCTCCCCCCTCCCCACTTTCCTTTCCTTTCTCTTTCCTTCCTCTTTCCTTTCTCTTTCCTTTCCTTTCCCTTTCTCTTTCCCTTTCTCTTTCCCTTTCCCTTCACCTTACCCTACCCTTCCCCTTTCCTTGCCCTTCCCTTCCCCTTCCTTTTCCCTTCCACTTCTCTTCCCCTTTCCCTTCCCCTTTCCCCTTCCCTTTCCCCTTCCCTTCCCCTTCCCTTCCCTTCCCTTTCTGTCTTTCCAGACGGAGTCTTGCTCTGCCACCCAGGCTGGAGAAAAGTGGAGGGATTTCGGCTCGCTGCAATCTCCACCTCCTGGGTTCAAGCAATTCTCCTGCCTCAGCCTCTCGAGCAGCTGGAATTACAGGCGCCTGCCACCATGCCTGGCTAATTTATATATAATATATATATATATTTTTTGTAGAGGTGGGGATTCACCATATTGGTCAAGCTGGTCTCAAACTCCTGACCTCAAGTGATCCGCCTGCCTCAGCCTCCCAAAGTGCTGGGATTACAGGCATGAGCTACCGCACCCGGCCATGTCCAGCTTTTTCTAACAAAAATTACAAGGCATGCTGAAAATAAGTAAACATCATTAAAAAAAAAAAAAAAAAGGATTGAAACCAGACCCAGATAAGGCAGAGATTTTGGAATCACCTAACTGTGAATTAATAAATTAACTTATTTATTTATTTAGAGACAGAGTCTCACTCTGTCGCCCAGGCTGGAGAGCAGTGGCGTGATCGTGGCTTACTGCAACCCCCGCCTCCTGGGTTCAAGCAGTTCTCCTGCCTCAGCCTCCCAAGTAGCTGGAACTATGGGTGTGCTGCCCAGCTAATTTTTGTATTTTTAGTAGAGACGGGGTTTCACCATGTTGGCCAGGCTGGTCTCAAATTCCTGACCTCAGGTGATCTGCCCACCTCAGCCCCCTAAAGTGCTGGGATTACAGGCCTGAGCCACCGCGCCTGGCCCATCAACCTGTTTTTTTTTTTTTTTTTTGAGACGGAGTCTCGCTCTGTCGCCCAGGCTGGAGTGCAGTGGCGCAATCTCGGCTCACTGCAAGCTCCGCCTCCCGGGTTCACGCCATTCTCCTACCTCAGCCTCCCGAGTAGCTGGGACTACAGGCGCCCGCCACTGCGCTCGGCTAATTTTTTTCTATTTTTTAGTAGAGACGGGGTTTCACCATGGTCTCGATCTCCTGACCTTGTGATCCGCCCGCCTCGGCCTCCCAAAGTGCTGGGATTACAGGCGTGAGCCACCGCGCCGGCCTCAACCTGTTTTTATACAAAGTGTTTGGGTTATTGATTTAATTACTTTATGAGAACACAAGGGAGAAAGAAGGGAGCAGATGTGGAGGAGAGATTTCGAGAAAGGAAGAGAAAGAAATATAGATTTATTTTTCTTTTTCAGATTTTCAGTTTCTTAACTAAAAATTGGTGGTTTGTATTTTTCTTGGAAGTTGAACATTCATCTAAGTTTTTTTTTTGGGGGGCGGGTGACAGAGTCTTGCTGTCTTGCCCAGGCTAGAGTGCAGTGGTGCAATCTCGGCTCACTGCAACCTCTGCCTCCCAAGTTGAAGTGATTCTCCTGCCTCAGTCTCCTGAGCAGCTGCGACTATAAGCGCCCGCCACCATGCCCAGCTAATTTTTGTATTTTTAGTAGAGAGAGGGTCTCACCATGTTGGCCAGGCTGGTTTCAAACTCCTGACCTCAGATGATCTGCCTGCCTCAGCTTCCCAAAGTGCTGGGGCGTGAGCCACCATACCCGACCCTGGCAAACTGTTTTCTGAAGGGCCTGACCAGCTTAAATTATTTACTGGATGGTAGTGTTCATCGCTTTATCTACTTCTTAGTCAAGCTTTGGTGGTCTGTGTCTTTCAAGGAATTTGTTCATTTCATCTAAGTTATCAAATTTATTGGCATGGGGTTCATAATACTTTATGATTTATAGTGATAATCCCTTTTTTATTCCTGAAATGGGTCATTTATGCCTTCTCTCCCTTTCTCTCCTTTGGGTGGAGGTTTATCAACTTAATTGATCTTTTCAAAGAATCGGCTTTTGGTTTCATTGATTTTTTTTTTTTATTGATTTTCAATTTTCTATTTTACTGTTTCTGATGATTATTATTTTTATTCTTCTTGCTTTGGGTTTGATTTGCTCGTCTTTTTCTATTGAGGTGAAGACTGAGGTGTTTTTTTGTTTGTTTGTTTTTGTTTTTTTTTTTTTTTTGAGACAGAGTCTCGCTGTCTCGCCCAGACTGGAGTGCAGTGGCGGGATCTTGGCTCACTGCAAGCTCCGCCTCCCGGGTTCACGCCATTTGCCTGCCTCAGCCTCTTGAATAGCTGGGACTACAGGCGCCCGCCACCAGCTAATTTTTTGTATTTTTAGTAGAGATGGGCTTTTACCGTGTTAGCCCAGATGGTCTTGATCTCCTGACCTCGTGATCCGCCCACCTCGGCCTCCCAAAGTGCTGGGATTACAGGCGTGAGCCACCGTGCCCGGCCAACTGAAGTCTTTTTTTGTTGTTTTTTTATACTAACATAGATGTTAGTGTTGTAAATTTCCCCTAGGTGGTTCTTTATTAGTTAGTATTCCATAAAATTTGATACATTGTGTTTCCATTTTGATTCAGTTCATATTGCTTTCTGATTTCCTTCTTGATTTCTTCTTTGACGGGTGGTTTATTTAGAGGTGTGTTGGTTTGTTTTCCAAACAGTTAAGGATGATTCATTGTTGGTTAGTGATTTATAATTAGCACCGTTGTGATCAGAGAACATGCTTTTTATGACTTGAATTATTTTAAATAATAATTGAGATTTGTTTTATGTACTGTATGGGCCCTCTTGGCAAATATTCCACATGTGCTTGAGAATATTGTATATGTTGGTGTTGGGTGGATGTTCTGTCAATATCTCATGTAGTTTCTTGGTTGATACTGTGCAAATCTTGTATATCTTTACCATGTTTTTGTGTACTTGTTCTGGGAATTGTTTCTAGAAAAATATTTCCATTTCCAGTTATATTTTTTCTTTTTCTTTTTCTTTTTTCTTTTTTTTTTTTTTTTTTTTGAGACAGAGCCTCACTCTGTCACCCAGGTTGGAGTGCAATGGTGTGGTCTCAGCTCACTGCGACCTCTGCCTCCGGAGTTCAAGTGATTCTCCTGCTTCTGGGTTCAAGCGATTCTCCTGCTTCTGGGTTCAAGTGATTCTCGTGCTTCAGCCTCTGAGTAGCTGGGACTACAGACGTGCACCAACACACCCAGCTAATTTTTGTATTTTTATTAGAGACGGGGTTTCACTATTTTGGCCAGGCTGGTCTCAATCTCATGACCTCATGATCCGCCCACCTCGGCCTCCCAAATTGATGGGATTACAGGCGTGAGCCACTGCGCCTGACCAATTTGCAGTTATGTTTTATTGTTACCTATTTTTCATTGCATTTCAATCAGTTTTTGTTTTATATACTTTGAGAGTGTTATCAGGTGCATAAGTGGTTGGGAATTTTATGTTTTCTTGATAGACTGATCCCTTTTATGTTATGACATGCACCTTCTTGAATCTTCCTATTTTCCTTTGTCCTGAAATCTATGTTGTCTGATATTAACATAGCCCACCATTTGTTTGGCTTGTTATATTGATTCTATCCTTTTACTTTTAATATTTTGTGTCTTTAAAGTATGTTCCTTGTAGCCATTACATAGTGCACAAGGGTTCCAATTTCTCTGCATTCTCTTCAACATTAGTTATTTTCTGTTTTTTGTTGTTGTTGTTTTTTTGTTTTTTTGTTTTTTAACCAGTAGCCATCCTGATGGTTTTGAGATGATGGGTCATTCACTATGTTCATCTTTGCCTCTTAAAGTGTTTTGACCCTATACATTTTATGTAATTATTAACATGATTACATTTAGGTCTACTACTTTACTTTTTTTCTCTATTTAGTTTCTCTGTCCATTCCTTTTGTAGTTTTGATTATTTCAATTTTTGTTTGTTTGTTTTTTGCTATTTATTTAAATTTACCTATTGGCCGGGCTCAGTGGCTCACGCCTGTAATCCCAGCACTTTGGGAGGCTGAGGCAGGCGGATCACCTGAGGTCAGGAGTTCGAGACCAGCCTCAACATGGAGAAACCCCGTCTATACTAAAAATACAAAATTAGCCAGGCGTGGTGGTGCATGCCTGTAATCCCAGGTACTCGGGATGCTGAGGCAGGAGAATTGCTTGAACCTGGGAGGCGGAGGTTATGGTGAGCCGAGATCGCTGAGCAACAAGAGTGAAACGCCATCTCAAAAAATAATAATAATAATAAAATTTTTTTAAATAAATAAATAAATTTACCTGTTGACTTTTGGGTTGTATCTCCTTGAGTAATTTATTTTAGTGAGTGTTATAGGGATTATAGTATACAATAAACATCATGTTTCACCATCTAGATAGAGTTGTTCCTTCTCAACAAATGTATAAACCTTGTGTTTTTATAGGTTTATATCCATCTTACCCTTCACGTTATAATTTCCATGTATATCACATCTTCATATGTTGTAAACCTCACTAGGCAGTGTTATTAGTTTTGCTTTTGACAGTCATATTAAAGAACTTAAGGAGCAAAAAATGATTTTAGGTATTTATATCATCATTAGTGATGCTTTTCTTATATTCTGAAGATTCAGATTTCTCTTTGGTATTATTTTCTTTGGGCCTAAATAACTTGTTAGCATTTTTTGTATAGTAAGTCTGATGGCAACAAAGTATTTTAATTTGCTTTTATCAGTAAATGTAATGTATCTTACTTGGCATTAAATGAGCATCTTAATTCTACAAATTTCTTTCACTAAATTTGGGTTGTTTTCAATCGCTATTTCCTGAGATATTTTTCCTGCCAAAATCTTTGTTTTTTCAGTTTATAATTTCAACCATATCTTTTGATTTATTCCCACAGCTCTTTACAAATGTTTTCTTCTTCTTCTTTTTTTTTTTTTAATTTTTTATTTCTGAGATGGAGTTTCACTCTTGTTGCCCAGGCTGGAGTGCAATGGTACAATCTTGGCTCACTGCAACCTCCGCCTCCCAGGTTCAAGGAATTCTCTGCCTCAGCCTCCCCAGTAGCTGGGATTATAGGTGCCCGCCACCATGCCCAGCTAATTTTTTGTATGTTTAGTAGAGATAGGATTTCACTATGTTGGCCAGGCTGGTCTCGAACTCCTGACATCAGGTGATCCACCTGCGTCAGCCTCCCAAAGTGCTGGGATTACAGGCATGAGCCACCACACCCGGCTAAAATTTTTTAAACCATTTTTCTCTCTCCATTTCAGGTTGAATAATTTCTGTTGATCAATCAAGTTTACTGACCCTTAGTGATTATATGTTTCAGTTGTATAATTTGCATTTTCATCCTTTTCTGTCTCCCCACTCGTGGTTATAGCTCCTATGTTGTCTGTCATTTCCAGTGTGTTTTTCTAAGCTAGCATGACAGGCATCAGCCATTGAGCCTGGCTCCAAACCTTTGTATGCTACTGTTATAAATAAAGTTTCAATGTCGCAAAAGAAATAGCACTCAAATATAAAATTTTCTTTTTTTTTAATTCTCGGCAAGACAAGGTACTTGTATAGAAGGGTGCGCTTTCACCGATGGAGCAATGGTGGGCGCACATTTGGACAAGGGAGGGGAAGGGGTTCTTATCCCTGAGGCACATGGCCCCTGCTGCTGTGTCATTCCCCTATTGGTTAGGGTTAGACCGCACAGGCTAAACTAATTCTGATTGGCTAATTTAAAGAGAATGACGGAGTGAGCGCTTTGGCAGGTGTCAGGGCAGAGCCGGTATAGCCCATAACAGGAATGAGTTAGGGTGGAGCAGGTGATCAGAATGATTTAGGGTGGAGTAGGTAATCGAAAAAGGTTGCTTTACGAGGAAGTTTAAATGTAGAAGGCAAAGAATTGAACATACTGATATATTAATGTTTTGAAGAGAAATTTAGAATTCATATTCAACACTACTATTTTTATTGTTTTGTTTACTCACAACTCTAAGTCTTTGAAGACTTCCGTTCTTTTCTTTTATATTATTTTCGGGTTCATGTTACCTGTTCCCTTCCTGAATTGTTTGTTTCTCTGCAATATCTTATGTGCATAATTTTAAAATTTAGATATTGAGAAATTACAAGATAGGTGGTAAAATGTGCTCATTATAACTGTCTTTTTAGCAGCTTTTTGTATTTCATCCATGGCAATTGACTGTTTAGACTTTTCACTTTTAGGGTCACCTCTGAGGAATATTCCTACAAAATTATTCATTGTTTTTAATACTTTCAAGATATGTATATATACTCTTATAATTTAAATAAAATCTCTGTTTCTTATTTTCCCTTCTTATTTTTATTTTTATTATTTTTTGGTTGCTTTAGCTCATATTTCACCCAATGATTTTTGTAAACACCATGTCTTTGATTTAGGTGTTGACACTATTCTGTTTCCTAACCCATCACATTCTGCTTTTATCTTTATTTTTCTACTTTCCTGTACCTTGCTTTTAAATTCCTAAATGTTGGATAGTGATCTTTAACTTATTTTCTTTCCTTTTTATTGAGATAAATATTCAGTCTTTGAATTCCCTGCCTGCTGATACTGAATGCCCATGATTATGATGTGTACCCATTTTCTCCACCATGATTTGCTTACCCTTTATAATTTCCATGTATATCACATCTACATATGTTGTAAACCTGATCATTCTTCAGTTACAGTCTTCCCTGAAAGATGGGTGTTCCCACAACTGTAGTTTATTCCTTTCTATGTATGACCATGTATACTTCTTTTCTCTATATATTAAATAAGATACTGAGTTTTTATTTAGTTATCTCACCCTGACTTTTTTTTATTACTTCTGATCCTACAGATGTTCAATCTGCTGGAATTCTTCCATTTTACTCTTCTATTTCCATATCAATATTTGCCTGTTTTCTTAGCATATGATATAAATTTATACAGAGGGGGTGTGGTACAGCTGGTCAGTTCTGTCATTCTAGAGCCAGTTATGCATATGTGTTAATAAATCTGCATTAAATTGACAGCTTGAAATTGCCCTCAGTGGGAATATTTATACCAGAGATCTTGGCAAACACTACAAAACAGGGCTGTGTGTGTGTGTCTTTGTGTATGGGTGCATGTATGTGTAAGGTTGCACTCCTCCTGTAGAAACTCATTTTTTGAGCTCTCCTTTCATTTTTTATATTTTATAGCTGTATTTTTGAGTTCTCGGCATCTGTAATAGGTGAGAATTTCTCTTAATTCTACAATACATTGACATTTTCTCATCCAATAAACAAAATGTTTTTATTATATGTCTTCTAGATTTGGATTCAAGGTGTGAAATAATCAGCGATGGGAAAATGCACCTTTATAGGAAACACTCATCTGTTACTCTCCATCAGAGAATTCATAATGGACAGAAACCATATGAGTGTAAGGAATGTCAGAAGGCCTTTAGTCATCTTACAGAACTCATAGTACATCAAAGAATTCATACTAGTGAGGAACCTGATCAATGTGAAGAGTTTGGGAAGGCATTTAGCCATCTTACAGACCTTAGAGAGCATCAGAAAATTCATGCTCGTGAGAAACCTTATGAATGTGAAGAATGTGGGAAAGTCTTCAGTTATCCTGCAAACCTTGCTCAACATGGGAAGGTTCATGTTGAGAAACCCTATAAATGTAAAGAGTGTGGGGAAGCTTTTAGGACTAGCCGTCAACTTACTGTACATCACAGATTTCATTACGGTGAGAAACCCTACGAATGTAAGGAATGTGGCAAAGCCTTTAGTGTGTATGGACGACTTAGTCGACATCAGAGTATTCACACTGGTGAGAAGCCCTTTGAATGTAACAAATGTGGGAAGTCCTTTAGGCTCAAAGCAGGCCTGAAAGTACATCAGAGTATTCATACTGGAGAGAAGCCACACGAATGTAAGGAATGTGGAAAGGCCTTTCGTCAGTTTTCCCACCTTGTAGGTCATAAAAGAATTCATACTGGAGAAAAACCCTATGAATGCAAGGAATGCGGTAAGGGCTTTACATGTAGGTATCAACTTACTATGCATCAGAGAATTTATTCTGGGGAGAAACCTTATGAATGTAAAGACAATGGGGAGGCTTTTAGTAGTGGCCATCAACTTACTGTACCTCATACATTTGAAAGTGTTGAGAAACCTTATAAGTGTGAGGAATGTGGGAAAGCCTTTAGTGTGTATGGACGACTTACTCGACATCAGGGTATTCATAGTGGTAAGAAACCCTTTGAATGTAACAAATGTGGGAAGTCCTTTAGGCTGAATTCATCCCTTAAAATACATCAAAATATTCATACAGGTGAGAAACCCTACAAATGTAAGGAATGTGGGAAGGCCTTCAGTCAGCGTGCACACCTTGCCCATCATAACAGAATTCATACTGGTTACAAACCCTTTGAATGTAAAGAATGCGGGAAGTCCTTTCGTTGTGCCTCATATCTTGTCATACATGAGAGAATTCATACAGGAGAGAAACCCTATGTATGTCAAGAGTGTGGGAAGGGTTTCAGTTATAGCCATAAACTCACTATACATCGCAGAGTTCACACTGGTGAGAAACCTTATGAATGTAAGGAATGTGGGAAGGCCTTTAGTGTATCTGGACAACTTACTCAGCATCTGAGTATTCATAGTGGTAAGAAACCCTTTGAATGCAACAAATGTGGGAAGTCTTTTAGGTTCATTTCTGTACTTAAAGCCCATCAGAATATTCATAGTGCTGAGAAACCCTACGAATGTAAGGAATGTGGCAAGGCCTTTCGTCATGCCACAAGCCTCATATATCATGACCGAACTCATGCTGGTGAAAAGTCCTATGAATGTAAAGAATGTGGGGAAACTTTTAGTCATGCTTCACATCTTATTATTCATGAGAGAATTCATACCAGTGATAAACCCTATGAATGTAAAAGATGTGGGAAGGCATTTCGCTGTGCCTCATATCTTCTTAGACATGAAAGGGTTCATGCTGATGGAAATCCCTATATGTGTGAAGAGTGTGGGAAAGCTTTTAATAGTAGCCATGAACTTAGTATACATCATAGAGTTCATACTGGTGAGAAACCCTTTAAATGTAATAAATGCAGAAGGTCCTTTAGGCTTAGATCCATCCTTGAAGTACATCAGAGAATTCATATTTGATAGAGAAACTATGGCATATACAGGTAGTAAAGAAAGCACATTCTGTCAATTGATTTATCCCACTGTACAATTTGAAGACAATGTGGAATGGCTTTGAGATACAGTTCAGTTTTTGTTAGGCATCAATTTGTATTGGTGTGAACTTTTCAAAATGTAAATACGCAGTTTCTTTGGTAAGAACTGTGCTAACTCAGATTCAGAGAATTTATTATGTATTTTTTTAATAACATAAGAAAACTTTTTCTGACATTCCTCTAGTTTTGGATTGCCAAAATAATCATAGTAGAAGAAAACTGAGAGAATGCAGGAAACCATTCTTTATACTTGCATGTAAACATCTTGCAGCAACAATCATTTATTGTTAAACCTGGGAAAAGTCATTAAACAGGAAACCTCTGTCGATATAAGCGATGATGGGAAAGGCTATTTAGCCATTCTGCATATTTAATGCTCATGATCGATGTCCACTTCTTATAGCTGGGATGATATGGGGGAAGATACTTATCCCTTCCGGGGATCATATATAAATGGTGATAGTAGTACCTACAGTATAGTGCTGTTAGAATTACATGAGTTAGATGTGAAAGTCAGAGTGGAAGCAGGTGTGAGAGGGTCCCGCAGAAGAAAACATGGCTGCCAAAGTGTTTTGAGTCCATGGGCAAGTTTGGCCTGGCCTTAGCTGTTGCAGGAGGCATGGTGAATTCTGCCTTATATAATGTGGATGCTGGGCACAGAGCTGTCATCTTTGACCAATTCCGTGGAGTACAGAACGTTGTGGTAGGGGAAGGGACTCACTTTCTCATCCCATGGGTACAAAAACCAATTATCTTTGACTGCTGCTCTCAACCACATAATGCGCCATTCATCACTGGTAGCAAAGATTTACAGAATGTCAGCATCACACTGCGCATCCTCTTCCAGCCCATCGCTAGCCAGCATCCTCTCATCTTCACCAGCCTTGGAGAGGACTATGATGAGCCTGTGCTGCCGTTCATTACCACTGAGATCCTCAAGTCACTGCTGGCTTGCTTTGATGCTGGAGAACTAATCACCCAGAGAGAGCTGGTCTCCAGCCAGGTGAGCAACGACCTTATGGAGTGAGCAGCCACCTTTGGGCTCATCCTGGACAACATGTCTTTGACATATCTGACCTTCGGGAAGGAGTTAATAGGAGCAGTGGAAGCCAAACAGATGGCCCAGCAGGAGGCAGAGAGCGCCAGATTTGTGGTGAAGGCTAAGCAGCAGAAAAAGACGGCCATCATCTCTGCTGAGGGTGACTCCAAGGCAGCTGAGCTGATCACCAACTCACTGGCCACTGCAGGGGACGGCCTGAGCAAGCTGTGCAAGCTGGAAACTGTGGAAGACATTGCATACCAGCTCTCACGCTCTTGGAACATCATCTGCCTGCCAGTGGGGCAGTCCGTGCTCCTCCAGTTGCCCTAGTGAGGGCCCAGCCTACCTGCACCTCCGTGAGGCAACTGGGCCACAGCCCCGATGATTTGTAATACCACCTTCTGCCCTCACCCCAGAAATCACTGAAATTTCATGATTGGCTTAAAGTGAAGGAAATAAAGGTAAAATCACTTCAGCTCTCTAAAAAACAAAAGAAGAATTACATGGGTTAGTACATGAAAAAATTATGGGAAACTACATGGAATATACTGTTACGTTCAATAAACATTAGCTTCTATATATAATAATATCATTACTTGTGTTATTTTTAGTGCATTTTGATGAGATGAAAACCATTAACCATTCAGATTTAATGAATTCAAAAGAGTTTTATGGTTTTTAAATTTGAATTCGTTCTGGGTAAACTTAATAAGTAAAAACCATAAGAGGGCTTTCATTCCGATATGTTTAGGTGAATCAGACACTTAATCCTGGAATGAAATTCAGATGTAAGCTGGGCAGTGTGGCTCACGCCTGTAATCCCAGCACTTTGCGTGGCCAAGGCAGGTGGATCACTTGAGGTCAGGAGTTCAACTCCAGCCTGACCAGCATGGTGAAACCCCATCTCTACTAAAAACGCAAAAATTAGCTGGGCATGGTGGCACACTCCTGTAATCCCACCTAGTCAGGAGGCTGAGGCAGGAGAATTGTTTGAACCCGGGAGGCAGAGATTGCTGTGAGCCGAGATCATGCCGCTGCACTCTAGCCTAGGCGACAGAGCAAGACTCCATCTCAAAAAAAAAACAAAAAACAAAAAACCCTGCTTGAGAAAGCTCAATGCTGTTCTGAAAACATACTGTTCCAGCCAAAACCTGAAACTAGTGATAGGTCCTTAAGCCCCCTCTTGAAGCAGTTACTTTAGAAAGGTTGCAATTATAAATCATTTCTCTGCCCCTTTGAGATGTAAATCTACCACCAAGAGCTGTCTCCTCAGAGCTGAGTTTGAAATGCAAACATTCAGAGAGCCAGCTCTTGCTCCAACCTCTTAGTTCCTATGGGAGTGTAAGGGCCTAACTTTGGTGGCTGTCTTGCTCCAACTTTCACAACTGTCTCAGTCATAAAGATACAAGAAATTTGTTTCTACTCTGGATAAATATCAATTAGTAAAAAAAAAAACCTGATGCCTTAGTCACAGGGACCAAACTCCCCCTTAACACCTTTCAGTGTCTCCTTTAGTACACCCCACCACTTTCAACAACTCCTGATTTTTGTTTCCCAAAGTGGAGCTCAGTTTACACCGTATTCTGTTCTCTAATACAGTAGTTATTACTGAATAAAATCTGTCTACTCCCTTTTACTATTATCTCACTTTGTTTCTTTTTTTTTTTTTTTTTTTTTTTTTTTTCTTTTTTTGAGATGCAGTCTGGCTCTGTGGCCCAGGCTGGAGTACAGTGGCCATGATCTCGGCTGACTGCAACCTCTGTCTCCTGGGTTCAAGTGATGCTACTGCCTCAGCCTCCCGAGTAGCTGGGATTACAGACATCGCCACCACACCTGGCTAATTTTTGTATTTTTAGTAGAGATGGGGTTTCACTATGTTGGCCAGGCTTGAACTCATAACCTCAGGTAATCCACCCACCTCGGCCTCCCAAAGTGCTGGGATTACAGGTGTGAGACACCATGCCTGGACTCTTTTCTCCTTTCTTTGAGACGGAGTCTCACTCTTGTCACCCAGGCTGGAGTGCAGTGATGCAATCTTGGCTCTTTGCAACCTCCGCCTCCCAGGTTCAAGCAATTCTCCCGCTCAGCCTCCTGAGTAGCCGGGATTACAGGTGCACACTACCATGCCTGGCTAATTTTTGTATTTTTAGTAGAGACAGGATTTCACCATGTTGGTCAGGCTGGTCTTGAACTGCTGACCTCAGGCGATCTGTCCACCTTGGCCTCCCAAAGTGCTGGGATTACAGGTGTTAGCCACTGCGTCTGGCCTTTTTCTTTCTTTTTTAAGACAGGGTCTAGCTCTGTGGCCCAGGCTGCAATGTAGTCATGCCATCATAGCTCTTGGGCTCAAGTGATCCTCTGGCCTCAGCCTCCTGAATAGCTGGGATTACAGGTGTAGACCACCAGGCCCAGCTAGTTAAAAAATAAATTTTCTTTTGTAGGCATGGGGGGTCTCACTGTTTTGCCCAGGCTGCTTTTAAATTTCTGGCCTCAAGCAAGCCAGCTGCCTTAAACTCCCAAAGCACTGGATTACAGGCATAAGCCTCTGTGCCCGGCCCCACTTCATTTCTCTTTGACAAAACCTAAACATTCTGTTTATTGGAACACCACTTATACTTATGTCAATGTTCTGAGTAAATGTAAATGAATACTGACAAAATAATAGTATAACATCAGAGAGGTGTTTGTTTTTTGAGACAGAGTCTCGCTGTGTCACCAGGCTGGAATGCAGTGGCACGATCTCAGCTCACTACAACCTCTGACTCCCTGGTTCAAGCGATTCTCCTGCCTCAGCCTGCTGGGTAGCTGGTATTCTACTGATATTAGCTGGGTGTGGAGGCATGTGCCACCACACCCAGCTAATTTTTGTATTTTTAGTAGAGACGGGGTTTCACCATGTTGGCCAGGATGGTCTCCATCTCCTGACCTCGTGATCCGCCCATCTTGGCCTCCCAAAGTGCTGCGATTACAGGCATAAGCCACCACGCCCAGCCCAGAGAGGTTTTTTAAACAAAACAAATATGTAACTGATATCTTGTATTTTAAAACTAAGAAGGCATATGAAATTGAATGCATTCTGTGAGGAGAGTCAGAGTATTGATAAATTTGGACTTACTAAAATTCCTGGAGTAATGACTAAAAGAACCTACAAACTATTAAAGAGAAAATTGGAATAGTAATACATCAACCCAACATAAAGAAAGGAGAGAAAACGGAAACATGCAACAAAAAGAAAACAAATTAAAATGCCAGGAGCTCACGCCTGTAATCCCAGCAGTTTGGGAGGCATAGGTGGGAGGATCGTTTGAACCCAGGAGTTCAAGGCCAGCCAGGGCAACATAGGGAGACCCCGTTTTTAAAAAGTAATAAGTTCCTGAAGCAGGGAAGGAAGGGCAAGATGGTTTACATCTCAAATGCACAAGTGTTGGACAGCTGGAGTCAGTTTCCATGGAGATTATCTTTGATAACAGATTTCTTCTGGGGAATAGCTAAGTTTGTGGTTTTGTTTTTCAAAACTCTGCTTCAGCAAGATTTGAAAAAAAGAAGCAGCTATGGAAACTCATGTGATTCCAGATATGATGGTAATGGAAGAGGGCCACTGGGAAACCCTCCCGGAAGAATGGGTCCAATCAATCATCTGGGTGGCCCCAGTCCTCTAATGGCTTGTGGAAGAGGAAGGTAAATGTCTGCTCTAAGCAGCAACTGGACGTGCGCATTCATAGCAGAAGGAAACCATCAAGAAGTGGAGTACTGACCATGCTGGAGCAGTAGATGAAAGTGTCTGTCTAAACAAGGACTGCTCTGTGTCCTCACAGATGAATGAGGTCATGCTGGGAATTCCCTCTACAGGGAACTGGCCTGACTGACGTGCAGTTCCACAAAAGCACGTTTGTCTCATTATCTTTTTAGTATAGTTTATTAAAGTATTAATATAGTTTTGTTGTTGTTGTGGTTTTGAGACAGAGTCTCACTCTGTCGCCTAGGCAAGTGCAGTGGTGCGATCTCGGCTTACCGCAACCTCTGCCTCCCGGGTTCAAGCGATTCTCCTGCCTCAGCCTCCCGAGTAGCTGGGACTACAGGCACACGCCACCACGCCCAGCTAATTTTTTGTAGACGGGGTTTCACCGTGTTGCCCAGGCTGGTCCCGAACTCCTGACCTCAGGCAATCCGCCCGCCTCGGTCTCCCAAAGTGCTAGGATTACAGGCGTGAGCCATCGCACTCGGCCTCCCCATCTTTAAATTTACAAAAAGATTGAATACGAAGAAAATAAATAAAAGCCTGTGTATTTAGCAATAAAAATAAATAAATAAAAAATGTAATAAAATGGCAGCGTTAAATCTAACAGTGGTTATATTAAATGTAAATAAATTAAATACTCCAGTTAAAAGAGGCAGACGTTCGGGGTGTATTTAAAAGCCACCGTCACAAATGGTCTTCCCACTGCCCTGTTCGCATGCTCAGCCCCTAACAGCACTGACTTTGGCACTACTCACCTCGGGCAGCCCTGAGCCTCCCAAGGCTGAGCACCGCTCTTTGAGCAGCTACCACACTGCGTCCTTCGGCCGGGAAGAGGCTGCGTTCCTGCGCGAAGCACGTCGGCCGCGAACGCCTCTGGGAAATGTATTCCGGGCTACGAGCCCAGAAACATGGCGGAACCGGTTGCGGGGAGGTTGCTTGAATCCTCTCAGCTGTCCCCCTGACCTAGTTGCTGGCACAAGCTGCGCCCGGAGACGTGGGAGCGTTCTCTTGTTTTCCGAGTGCACAGACTCATCGGGTCACAATTTATGCTTTTGTGACGCGGTGAGTTCAGCCACTGATTCCTAACGGTTTAGAGTGGGGAGGTTATGCTTGGGCGTCCTGGACGCTGGCCCGCCTGGTGGCTGTAGAGGACGCGACGGATCCCGGGATGGGGCTGGAGGTTTGCAAGAGTCCATCCGAGGGGATTCTGGCTGCGAGTGTGACAGAGTATGTGAAAGCCGCATGGAGGATCTGATTGTAGTGCGAGCGAGAGTGAGTGCCCGCAAGGGATCGTCACCTGAGTGGGAGTCTCGGATTCATCGCCTCTTACCTTTCCTTCTTCTACTGTAAAATGGTGAAAATAAGGGTGCTTCTTCCAGAACGTCAGTTTACTCGAAAATCTGTAAAAGAAAAGGCTAAATAATTGATCTGATAAATATTATAAAACAGGATTTCTGTATAAAATATAAATTTATTATTGTGTAGTATACCAAATCAGTGTGACTTTTAAATACAGGAAGAAATATTTTAAAGGATCTTATTTTGTGGGACTGCTGCTTTTCCGTCAGACCCTGAGTAGAGTAGGCATTTATTCTGTTGCTTAGGGAACACAACAGATTTGAGAAGCCTCGGATTAAGGAATAATTTATGAAGCCCCGTTGACTACCGTGGAGAGATCATAATTTGGGATTCAAGATTCCAGGGGAGGCGCTATAACTCCACTTTCTGAAGAGCAAACCTTGGCTCAGAGAGGTCCTGGAGCCTTTTAAGGCACATGAATGAAGAAGAATTTTTCTAATTCTTTATATTTGGGAGGCACAAATTTTTTTGTGAGGTCACATCTATGGTTATATCAGGGATTCTAGTCTTTGATTTTAGAACAGTGGAACTAAATCTTTTTAGGTCACAGATGTATACAAAAATGCTCTTATTAGGTAGGATATTTAAGGGCTCAGAGGTTATCTCCCAGGAGCCAGTTCTTTCTTTGGAACGTGCAGGATTTGAGCAGTCCAGGTGTACTGAGTTACCTGTCCACTCACCCAGGCCTTGGCTTAGGCTCTCTTATAGCAAAACTGTCTGAGCATCTGCATTCGATATGACATTTATATGACAGAAACAGCAATAGTATCAAGATGCAGATGGCTATAATTTCAAGGAGCCTGTATGGAGTAGCAGTGGGATTTAAAGAAACAACTAACCTATCTGATAAAGGCATTACGTGCATTCTCATATTTTTGTATTAATTTGATTACTCATTTCCCTCCTTGAATCTACTGTTATGTGCCACATGATAAAGTTGTACAGAACTATTGAGCGTAGAAATTAGCTGATGGTTAGCTAAATTCTCCCTCAAGCCAGTCTTTTTCACTGTTACTTCATTAGCCAGGTATGGTGGTATATGTCTGTAGTCCCAGCTACTTGGGAGGCTGAGGTGGGAGAATCTGTGAGCCCAGGAGGTCAAATCCAGCCTGGACAACATATCAAGACCCCATCTCTAAAAATAAATAAATAACATTTTGAAAAAGATTGAAAGGTAAAGTTTCAGTTTCTTGTTTAGGGATCATTCCTGCTTCTGTCACTTGGAGTTACAGTCATGGTCTCAGGGCCACTGCATCAGGTAGGAAAAAAGAAAGTTGAGGTTATTTGGAGAAGATCTGTGTAACTGTGCCAGCATTCTGCCACACACCCTCTCCTTCTAATCGCCCAGGACAGTAGAGGAATCTATCTAGTGGAGACTATCCGTGGCTTTCCCCATCTTGAGAGTAAGCACACCCTCATGAAGGAGTGCAAACCAGACCATACTTTACTTTCCCTTACTTTAACCAACAACTCTATCGCTCTCCTAATTGTCTACTACTTTGAGGATGATCTGCAGCATGGTATGTCCAATTGATGTGAGAACTCTGGACATTGTTGGACACTGTGGGGTGTAAAGTGTTTCCCTTGGTCTGAAGAAATATAACACAGTAATGCCAATTGGCACGTTTCTATTCAAGGTGTTTTATAGTATTTTGAGCCTTTACATCTACCACAGGTATGCAAAAGCCCAATCCAGGGTAAGTATGTCTATCCACTGCCAGGGTCCTTTTGTAGGCTCCCAGGGCTACCAGTGGCCATCAGATAGAGTCTACATGCTATGCTGCCTCTCTGTGTGGGCCTTCCCTGCTGGAAATCAGTCCTAATTTGTTCGTCAGGTTCTGATGTTATCATTATCATCAATGTAGTATATTGTTACACTTAGGACCAGCCTCAAGTCCACGCTTTCCTAATCAAATTGTAATAGTAAGCTAGTGAATTCAAATAACCTGTGAGAATACAGTAGCTATAAATTGGGATCTTCCTGGCATGAAGGCAAACTATGATTGTCTCTTTCCCAAGATTGGGATAATGAAAAAGGCATTTGCAAAATCAGTCAGAGTACTGGTGTCCTTTAATTCGGTGGTACTACTTCATTTAAGCCTCGACAATCTACTGTTAGTCTCTCCCTTTGGCACAGATCTAACAGGGCTATTGTATAGAGAATTTGTTGGTACCAGCACTCTAGCTTCTAACATGTTATTAATAAAGTGATAATCTCTTGTATCTACCAGGTATTCTATACAGTTTCAAATTAACAACCTATGTTGGCCAGGTGTGGTGGCTCACGCCTGTAAACCCAGCACTTTGAGAGGCCAAAACGGGTGGATCACCTGAGGTCAGGAGTTCAAGAGCAGCCTGGCCAACATGGTGAAACCCCGTCTCTACTAAAAATACAAAAATTAGCCAGGCGTGGTGGCGCACGTCTGTAATCCCAGCTACTTGGGAGACTGAGGCACAAGAATTGCTGGAACCCGGGAGGCAGAGGTTGCAGTGAACTGAGATTGTACCACTGCACTCCAGCCCGCGTGACAAAGCAAGACTCCATCTCAAAAAAAAAAAAAAAAAAAAAAACAACCTGTGTGGGCTTCAGCAATTCTATAGGTTCCTGTTTGGCCTGTCTAATAACATTGATTGAAGGACAAACTTACATGCCTTTAGTTTTAAAATACTAGGTAGGGGAAGTGTTCCTCAGTCAGATATAATACCCTTCCCCATTATGTATTCAGGCAAGGAGATGCAACCACTTCACATAAGGTCCATTCAGACCTTCTAGTTTTCATTTAAACTTTCACCTTAATAACAGTCAACCACTGCATCCCCGTATCTTCCCAATCTAACTGTAGTCCCTATTAGGGTGTCACCAACAGATTTTGGAATCACAGTGCATTGGGCTCCATGTCAAGGAGTCCTAGAAATGTTCCTTTTCCACCCCGGTCTTAACTCACACGCATGCATATAGCCTTGGTCCCAGCGTGGTTGGTCATCCTGATTAATTTGTCAGGCTGTTGCCTTAGTGATTCAAGATCAGGTTTCTCAGTGTCATCTTTGCATTTCAGCCTTTTAAGTTCCTTCAAATTAGGAGAAATAAAACATATTTGTTTAGAGCTCTTCGGTGTCAGGTGATCAGCAAGGGCTCCTGTTGATCCACCCAACATCTAATAGTGGTGTTAAGACTGTTCTTTTTTTTTTTAGATGGAATCTTGTTCTGTCACCCAGGCTGGGGTGCAGTGGCACAATCTCTGCTCTCTGCAACCTTTGCCTTCTGGGCTCAAGTGATTCTCCTGCCTCAGCCTCCCGAGTAGCTGGGATTACAGGTGCCCACCACCATGCCTGGCTAATTTCTGCATCTTTAATATAGACAGGGTTTCACCATGTTGGCCAGGCTGGTTTCGAACTCCTGACCTCAAGTGATCCAACCACCTCTGCCTCCTGAAGTTCTGGGATTACAGGTGTGAGCCACTGTGCCCAGCTGAGATGGAGTCTTGCTCTGTTGCCCAGTCTGGAGTGCAGTGGCTAGATCTTGGCTCACTGCAACCGCCACCTCCTGGGTTCAAGTGATTCTCCTGCCTCAGCCTCCTGAGTAGTTGGGATTACAGGCGCTTACCACCACGCCTGGCTATTTTTTTTTTTGTATTTTATTAGAGACAGGGTTTCACCATGTTGGCCAGGCTGATCTCGAACTCCTGACCTCAAGCAATCCACCTGCCTCGGCCTCCCAAAGTGCTGGGATTACAGTCATGAGCCACCACGCTCGACCAATCCCATTTCTTAAGAACCATTTTAAGGTTTACTCACTACTTATGATGAGAGTCCCTTGATATCTCCTTCATCTTCCCCATTGTCTTGTGAATTACTCTCATTTTCTTAGCTTCTATAATGCCCATAAGGGGGAGGCTGAGACAACAAATCTGATATGGCTTCTTGGACCATTGCTTGATTTTGCAGTAGTAAAGTTGACAGGGAGTGCCCATGCAAAAGGAGTCCCCTTAATCATGGTATTTGCCTCGAACTGGGGTATTTGCACAAACATCTGATCATCATGAAGCCAACTTGATATATCCTGAATATGCAGCATATCAGCTGCTTCATCTGGGGAGCGCCACTTGGCATTTAAAGAAGGACAGTTCTCCATCTCAGGGTAAATTAATGTTATGGTAGGGTTTTTTTGCTTTTGTTTTTGTTTTGAGATGAATCTCACTCTGTCACCCAGACTGGAGTGCAGTGGCTTGATTTTGGCTCACTGCAACCTCTGCCTCCCAGGTTCAAGCGATTATCATGTACCAGCCTCCCAAGTAGCTGGGATTACAAGTGCCCACCACCACATCTGGCTAACTTTTGTATTTTTAGTAGAGACAGGGTTTTGCCATGTTGGCCAGGCTGGTCTCGAACTCCTGACCTCAAGTGATCCATCTGCCTCAGCCTCCCAAAGTGCTGGGTTACAGGCATGAACCACCGCACCTGGCTGTTATGGCAGCTTTGATCTAGTTGACTAGGCTAACTGTCCCCTCAACAACAATCTGCATTGTATCTGCATCATATATAGCCATCTGTGATTGTTCAATAGTAAGCCATGGGTCTGCCTCAAAGCAAACATACTTCTCCCTTCTGCAGTACTCAAAACTGAGGAAATTGCTCCTAAGTTAGTCACTCTCACAGTTCACTTTAGTAAAGGTTCTTCAGAAAGCTGATACCAGTCTACAAAATGAGACCACTCTTTCACACTGTACCCCTCGTTTCCATAGTTTCTTGGTTTCACCATCTTCTCTGCCACCTGCACTACCTTTTTAGTGATCAACGGTTGTGGAGTACTGTCTGTTGTTCCAGCACACATGTTCCCTTTGGTAACAGCTGTGACGCTAGAGGCCATAGCTCAGGCCAGCCAATGTCTGATCTTGGTGCAATGCCAGGCCCCACTCTGACTCTCCTTTACTTTAATTTGAGCTATTGCATGTGACACACAAGGAATTCTATTTTTAGCTTGTTTCTCATTATTTTGCCTCATTTTCCTTATATATCTAATGAGCCAACCCCTTGGAGGTCGGGTCTATCATTTCTAAGTTCCACTGGTGCTGGGCACAGTTGTACATGCCTATAGTCCCAGCTACTCGGGAGGCTGAGGCAGGAATATCGCTTGAGCCCGGGAGTTTGAGACCAGCCTGAGCAATATAGCGAACCCCTGTCTCCAAACAAACAACTACCAAATAAATCAATTCAATTGATGAATTTTACTTCTAGTAAGTGATTGCAGTGCAGCTGCTGTCTCATACCAAGGGTAACTCCATAACCATCCAAGTATCAAAGGTTCATCAATCCCACTCCCACATAGTTCTTTCCCCCCCCCCGCCCCAAACAATGTTTTTGCTATGTTTCAGTGAGTCAGGATCTTTCTAGTAAATCCCACTTCGGATCTGAGGGTCTTCAAGACTGCCGTGAGACTCAATGATTCCTTGATTGGACTCACAGGGTTCAGAAAAGCTGTTATACCGACAGTTGGAGTTTATTAAATTAAAAGGATGCAGATGAAAATCATGAAAGGGAAAGGTGCAACAGTTGAGGAGAAACGAGTCATAAAATTCCAGGTGTCCTATCAGAGTAGAGTTGATGGAGATGGCCTTAATTCTTCTAGCCATGGTGTGTGACAACATGTGTGAAATTTTGCCAGCCAGGGAAACGAAACTTACCCAAACCTTGGTGTCCAGGGGTTTTTTGTTTGTTTGTTTGTTTTTTGAGATGGAGTCTCACTCTGTCACCCAGTCTGGAGTGCAATGGTGTGATCTCGGCTCACTGCAACCTCTGCCTCCCAGGTTCAAGTGATTTTCCTGCCTTAGCCTCCCGAGTCGCTGGGATTACAGGTGCCTGCCACCAAGGCCAGTTAATTTTTGTATTTTTAGTAGAGACAGGGTTTCACCAGGTTGGCCGGGCTAGTCTTGAACTCCTGATCTCAGGTGATCCACCCACCTCAGCCTCCCAAAGTGCTGGGATTACAGGCATGAGTCACCACACCCAGGTGGTGTCCAGGGTTTTTATTGGAGATACTTAGAGTGTCTACCTGGACAACGTTAGTACTTAGTCTCCAGGCCCCCAGAAGTCAACCTGATAGAGCCCAAGGTCTTAGCATACAAAAACACTCTCATCAGACAGGGTGTTCAAGGACACAGAGATGATTTTCCAGCAGCCCATCAAAGGCCAGTTCTTTTTTTGGAATGTGCAGAGTTTGAACTCAAAGCTTTAAGCCTGCTGAGTTAATCCTTAACTGCACAGAGGCACATGGTGTTTCATGTATTTGTAGAGCTATTGAGGTTTTTTTTTTTTTAATCTTTTCTATTTTTTGAGATGGAGTTTTGCTCTCATCACCCAGGCTGGAGTGCAGTGGTGCAATCTCGGCTCACAGCAACCTCTACCTCCCGGGTTCCAGCAATTCTCCTGCCTCAGCCTCCCGAGTAGCTGGGATTACAGGCAAGTGCCACTACGCCCAGCTAATTTTTGTATTTTTAGTAGAGATAGGGTTTCGCCATGTTGGCCAGGCTAGTGTGGAACTCTTGGCCTCAGGTGATCTGCCCACTTCGGCCTCCCATGGTGCTGGGATTACAGGCAAGAGCCACTGTGCCCGGCCCTGTTTCAATTTACATTGTTTACGCTGTTTGCTTCTCAACATGTTCTGATTAATAGAAATGTCCCACAGTGGCAGGATGTTGTATCCGCCTCACAGCACAGGACTGCTTACCAATATGTGTGTATTCATTTCCTTATTGCCCCTTCCTGTGTTATAAGTTTCCAATTTCAACCTATTGCTTACTATAGAATGCCTTCCAGAAAAATCCTTTTTTATATCCTTATCATTCACCTAAAATATATTTTCTTTACTATTACATATGTTAAATGGGACTTTTCCTTTAAGGAGTTGGTGACATTCAGGGGTGTGGCTATAGATTTCTCTAAGGGAGAGTGGGAATGCCTGGACCCTGCTTAGAGAGACTTGTGCAGAGATGTGATGTTGGAGAACTACAGCAACTTTGTGTCACTGGGTAAGGTCACCTGTTCCCTATAATTCAGAAAATGTTCTCTCCATTGGGAATTCTGGGGCTGCATTAAATATCCAAATTCTGTTCCATGTTCCAAAAATTGGTTTGAGTTTTGTTGTCTTGGAATAGATTGCTTCTGTCAGGCACCTTCATATTTCCTGTTCTTCACTGACCTTCACTCTTTCTCTGGGCTCCTTATGTAACTGCCTTTTTTCTTGATTTTTAAGGAGCTAGATGATGGTCGAGGGACATTTATATAATAGCCTGTAGGATTTAAGACATGATGGTTCATCTAAAATTTAGGAAAACACATACCCTCTTATTTTTATGTTTGAAAGCTACATTCTCGGAATTTGACATTTCACAGGAAGATACATTGCTTCTGTCTTGAGGCTGCTTTTTTTTCTTACCCAGATAAGTAGAGATAGAGCCCATGTAGATTTAAATTTAACTAAGACCTTTCCCCCTCATTTGTCTCTTTGTTCCTTGTGCTCCTTAGGTCAGCTTAATGTGAATGTATTCTGACGTCTTCATCATTCTTTTACCCAAAAGCTTTTCTGGGGCCTATTTTTAAATTTTATTTTATGTATTATTAATTATTTTTTTGAGTCAGGGTCTCACTCTGTTACTCAGGCTAGAGTACAGTGGCATGATCATGGCTCACTGCAGCCTCAAACTCCTGGGCTCAAGTGATCCCCTCACCTCTGCCTCCCAAGTAGGTGGAACTACAAGTGTGCCACTGTGACCAGCTAATTTTTTTAAATTTGTGTAGAGATACGGTCTTGCTATGTTGCCTAGGCTTATTTTGAACTCCTGGCCTCAAGTGATCCTCCTGCCTTGGCCTCCTAAAGTGCTGGGATTACAGGTGTGAGCCAGTATGCCCAGCCAAAACTTTCTTTTTTTTTTTTTTTGAGACAGAGTCTCGCTCTGTCACCCAGGCTGGAGTGCAGTGGCGTAATCTTACGATTACATTAAAGTTATGTATTTTTGGCAAGAATACTACAGAAGTGATGCCTTTTTCAGTGCATTGCATTGCATCAGGACATAAATAATGGCCAATCAAAAACAATATCTTGTTTTGATGCTTGAAATGGTATCCTCTAGGGTTCTGCATAGTAAAGCTACTATTTTTACCTTTGCAATCAGTAAGTAACTTGTAAGGAAATTTGAGGTTCTACAAATACCCTCTTGCTCATGACATTTTTATCACTTTAGTTTCATCAATGATTCCTGCAGAGAACAGTTATGGTTATTACTTTTTTGAGACAGGGTGTTGCTCTGTGGCTCAGGCCGGAGTGCAGTGGCATGATGATGGCTCACTACAGCCTTGACCTCCTGGGCTCAAGCAGTCTTCCTGCCTCAGACTCCCAAGTAGCTGGGACCACTGGCATGTGCCACCACACCTGGCTCTGACAGCAGTTGTTTACTCTGGTGTTTGCCAAATTATGATTTTCTGTTTCCATCAGTCTTCAGAGGAACTTGAATTTGCTTTAGGTTAAACCATTCTAAAAAGAAACATTTTTTGGTTTATTTATTCTTAATATCCTATTTCTTTGAGCAGGACTTGCCATTTCTAAGCCATCAGTGATTTCCCTATTGCAACAAGGGAATGAACCCTGGATGGCTGGGAAAGCAGGATGGTATCCAGGTGGGTAAGGGTGTTGGGGTACTCCCAGCAGAAGTACATTTTAGGGAAGCCCAAACTGGTCAGAGTGGTGATGTCTTTTGTTTAAGATATTGTGTGGAAACCTTCCCTCAGAGGCCCAAGGTCTTGGGAGAAAAAGTTTGACAAATGGGAAGTATTTCAAATATTTACAAAGAACTTTTTTTCTTTTTTTTGGTAGCAGATGTATTGAGGCATAATTGACATATAATGAACCAGCTATGCTATAAAGTATATGGTTTGACAAATTTTGATGTGTCAAATGGTATACTTTATATGTATACATGTTTGCTCATGAAACCACCATAATTAAGATACAAAACCTATTAATCACTCCCATTGCTTCTGATCTAAGGAAAAAAGACTTCAATTTTTATTATTATTATTATTATTATTATGAAACAGAGTCTCACCCTCTTTATTATTATTATTATTATGAAACAGAGTCTCACCCTCTAGTGCAGGCTGGAGTGCCGTGGCGTGATCTTGGCTCACTGCAACCTCCACCTCCTGGGTTTAAGTGATTCTCCTGCCTCAGCCTCCCGAGTAGCTGGGATTACAGGCACATACCACCACATCCAGCTAATTTTTATATTTTTAGTAGAGACGGGGTTTTACCTGATCTCAAACTCATGACCTCGTGATCCACCTGCCTCGGCCTTCCAAAGTGCTGGGATTACAGGCATGAGCCACCTCCCTGGCCTATTTTGCTCTTATCTACTGTCTTGCAGTAAAACCTTAGGTTGTTTATTTTATACCTTTTTCTTTTCTAATATAAGCATTTAAAGCTATAGGTTTCACTGTAAATGTTACCTTAGCTATATAACATACATTTTGCTGTGCTATACTTTTATATTGTTAATTTCTAAGTATTTTCTAATTTCCATGTGTATTGTTTAGTTTTCAAGTATTGGGGGACAGGTTCCAGATATTTTAATAATTTCAAACTGAGTTCCATTGTGATCAAAGGAAATATTCTGTGTGACACTGATCCTTTTTAGTGTATTGAGACTTATTTAGTGGCCCAGCATATGGTCTATTTTGAATGCGTATAGGTATTTGAAGAGAATGTACATTCTGCAGTTTTTGATATTATGTTTTGTATATATCAACTAGTTGAAGGTGGTGGACAGTGTTACTTATATCCTCTATACTTTACTCATTTTCTGGGGGAGGGGGATGTTCCAGTTGTTCCTATCAGTTATTGAGAGATGGTTGCAAAATCTCCAACTATGATTGTAGAAGTATCTATTTCCTACTTTACTTTTGTCAATTTTTGCTTCACATATTTTCAGGCTGTGTTATTCTGCACCTACACATTTCTGATTGCCAAGTCTTCCTGATGAGTTATTATAACTCTTTTATCATTATGAGAAAATTATCTTTGATAATATAGAGTAACTGGAAGTCTGTTTTATCTGATATTAATATAGCCATTCCAACAATTTTTTTCTGCAAATTAAATGCCAAGATTTGAAAGTTATCTAAGCCATTTCTTGCTTAAGGGCATTATTATCTGTTTGACTGCTTCTATGAAGTTTTATTTCTCATAAAAGAGGAAAACATGATGTTTATTTTCTTTCAGATATGCTGTCTAGGTATGACACCAAGGAGTTACCTCTTAAGAATGGCACTTTTGAAAAAGAATCGTTAAAATGGAAAATAATAGAAAGAGTCAGAAGTTCTTGCCTCAAGGAATCTTGTTTTGGAAATGATTGGAAATGCAAAGGACTCTTTAAGAGACAACAGGAAACTAAAGAGGAATATTTCAGGCATATAACTGTGCCATTTGAAAAAATATTATCTGAATTCATCCAGCCTACATCTTTTCTTCTAAATCAAATAATTCATACTGGAAAGAAACTCTATGAACATAAAAAATGTGAAAATCTTACTCAACAGGGAAGAATTTGTATCATTGACAAGCTTGATGAAATGTGTGGCAATGCCTCTGTATTTTACACAAATCATATGAAACATCAAATTTTACTGCAAAGAAATGCAATGTATTTAAACAATGTGGCAAAGACTGCTTGTAACTTTCAACTAGCTCAATATCAAATAAGTCATTGCTAATCAGAAACCCTATGAATGTCAGATATGTGGAAAGCCCATAAGAAAGCGTGCCCACCTTACCCAACATAATCAAATTCACACTGGTGAGAAACCATATGAATGCAAAGAATGTGGGAAAGCGTTTATGTTGTTCAACATTGATTCAACATAAGAGAACTCATACTAATGGGAAACCCTATGAATATCTGGAATGTAGAAAGATGTTTAGGTGGAGTGCACATCTTATTCGACATCAAAGAATTCATACTGGTGAGAGACCTTATACACGTAAGCAATGTTGGAAGGCCTTTGCTTCTGTTTCTGATTTTAATAGATATCAGAAAATTCACACTGGTGAGAGACTTTACGAATGTAAAGAATGTGGGAAGGCATTTAACAATTGCTCAACTTTTATTCAGCATCAGAGAATTCACACTGGTGAGAAGCCCTTTGAATGTAAGGACTGTGGCAAAGCATTCAATAATTGCTCAACACTTACTCAACGTCAGAGAACTCATACTAATGAGAAATCTTATGAATGTCAGGAATGTAAAAAGGCTTTTAGGCAAAGTGCACATCTTACTCAACATCAAAGAACTCATACTGGTGAGAAACCATTGAGTGTGAGGAACGTGGGAGGGCTTTCACTTGTGCTTCTGACTTTAACAGACATCAGAGAATTCACACTGTTGAAAAATCCTATGAATGTAAAGAATGTGGTAAAGCCTTTAATAATTGCTCAGCTCTTATTCAACACCAGAGAATTCACACTGGTGAGAAGCCTTATGAATGTAAGCAGTGTGGGAAAGCTTTTATATCCTGTTCAACACTTGTTCAACATCAGAGAACACATACTAATGAAAAACCTTATAAATGTTAGGAATGCAAGGCCTTCAAGCAGAGTGCACATCTAATGAGACACCAGAGAATTCACAGTGGGGAGAAACCCTATGAATGTAATGAATGTGGGAATGCCTTCATTTGTTTTTCTGATTTTAACAAACATCAGAGAATTCACAAAGGAGAGAAACCCTATCAGTGTAAAGAATGTAGGAAGGTTTTTAATAATTATCTAACTCTTACTTAACATCAAAGAATTCATACCAGTGTGAAGCCCTATGAATGTAAGGAATGTTGAAGGACCTTTACTTGGCTTTCAAATTTGAATAAACATCAGAGGCCAGGCGCGGTGGCTCACACCTGTAATCCCAGCACTTTGGGAGGTCGAGGTGGGCAGATCATGAGGTCAGGAGATCGAGACCCTACTGGCTAACATGATGAAACCCAGTCTCTACTAAAAATACAAAAAATTAGCCGGGCGTGGTGGCAGGTGCCTGTAGTCCCAGCTACCCAGGAGGCTGAGGCAGAATGGCGTGAACTCAGGAGGCGGAGCTTGCAGTGAGCTGAGATTGTGCCACTGCACTCCAGCCTGGGCGACAGAGTGAGACTCCATCTCAAAAAAATTTAAAAAAAAATACACATCAGAGAATTCACACTGGTGACAAACCCTTTGAATGTAAAGATTGTAAGAAAGCTTTTCTTTGTTATTCAACATTTATTCAACACTGTAGAACTCATACTAATGAGAAACCGTATGAATGTCAGGAATGCAGCAAGGCCTTTAGGCAGAGAACACATCTTACTCAACATCAAAGAATTCATACTGGTGAAAAACCATATGAGTGTAAGGAATGTGGGAAGGCCTTTGTTTGTGTTTCCTACTTTAATAGACATCAGAGAATTCACACTGGAGAGAAGCCATACCAGTGTAAAGAATGTAGAAAATTCTTTATTGATTGTTCAACTCTTATTCAACACCAGAGAATTCACACTGGTGAGAAACCCTTTGAATGCAGGAATGTAGGAAGGCCTTTAGGCAGAGGGCGCATCTTAATATCAGAGAAGTCATACTGGTGAGAAACCCTATGAATGTAATGAATGTGAGGCCTTTTCTTGTCTTTCACAGCTGAAAAAGCACCAGAGAATACATACATGAAGGGATAAGTCTTATGTATTTGAATAGCATCTTTTTATTTAACAATCCTTACCTAACATCACCAAATTCACATTGCGAGAAACTTCAGAAATATAAGAAATGTGGGAAACACTTTTACCTGTCCCTCAGCTATGCTTTTTCATAATGGAATTTGTACTGGTGAGAAGCCTTATGAAAGCCAGATATGTGTAAAGATCTACTCTCACAATATACTCAACATTATATAATATATAGTGTGACTCCTATAGGAAACGCTTGATTTTAAAATTATCAATTATGGAATAGCAAACAATCTGTAAGTGAAGAAAATCCAGTGACTGTGTAAAGTTTTTGCCTCATAATTCACAATTTATTAAGCATCAAATTTATATGGGAAAAATAGAGTATCAATTACTAATAAAAACAATATTACCACTAAAATTATATTTGACTTATCATAGAGAATAGCATATAGAGAATAATCATGTTGACTTTGTGAATGTAGAAAAGTGTTTATAATATGAATCTTTTTCAGCATCATTATACTTTCACCAGTTTCCACGTCTGTTTTATTACCAAGTAATTTAAACTTTGTATAGTTCAGATTACAAATTTCTTACATTGTGATAAGGTTATTGTGAAGATTAAATGAGTTTATCCAAAGACACTTGGAACAGTTATTGGTAAATAGAAACTATTCAGTAAATATTGGCTGTCATGATTATCACCTTCATTGCTACTCTTAGAATATTTATATAAGAACATTTAATTATGCAGATTTTATTAATATAATGAAATCGACCATCACAATTTCTCTGATTGCAAATCTATGATAATTTATTCTGGAATGAAAATTATTAGAATATAGTGAGTATGAGGAAACATTCATTTAAATTTATTTTAGTTGAATCAGAAAATTCACTCTGGAAACACTGAATGGATGTATTAAGTAAATTTTTTAGATTAAAGTTGATATGAGAAGTGATACATCTGAAGCAAGTTTCAAAAAGTAGTGTACATTTTCTGACAATAACTCAAGACAGGTGGGTGTGGTGGCTCACGCCTCTAATCTTAGCACTTTGGGAGGCTGAGGCAGGTGGATCACTTCAGGTCAGGAGTTTGAGACCAGGCTGGCCAACAAGGCAAAACCCCATCTCTACTAAAAATACAAAAATTAGGCAGGTATGGTGGTGTGCACTTGTAGTCCCAGCTACTCGGGAGGCTGAGGCAGGAGAATTGCTTCAGCCTGGGAAATGGAGGTAGCAGTGAGCCGAGATCTCACCACTGCACTCCAGCCTGGGCGACAGAGTGAGACTTTATCTGAGAAAAACAAACAAATAAGACAAGTAGATACAGAAGACGAATTTTTAAAATTTGCAGTTTATAAACACCACCATATATAGTTCTTGGATTAAGTGAAAAATGCTATCTGAAATAATAGGCTATTTAGATATGAAAGATAGTGAGTGTTGCATAATAAAACCTGAGGTATGTGGCTCATTTGAATAAATAAACATTCAAGCAGAAAAGTAACAAACCCAAAATTAACACTGGAAACGTATTACATAAATCAATTTGTTTATTCAATGAATTTGAATGAATTACTTAGAAAGAAAAATTAATGAGCTAAACAGAAAGTGGACTTTATCTAAAAGTGGTTTGAAACAACTTGTAATATAGACTAGATTTGCCAGTTATGATTGAGATAAGTAAGAGAAATGACATAAATGCATCAGTGCAATTGGGAACATGGAAATTTTACAGGCATTTTTCATAGTATGAAATGTTTTGTTTAGTATTTCAATTAAATTTAAAACATCTATGGTAAACTTCATTTTGCAGGAATATGTAAATATGTAAGTGTTTCTAGTTGGTTCACTGAGGCATAGAAAATTTGAATGAAGCCAAACCTGAAGCTATAGAAAGTCTGAATGAAGCCAAAATGTGAAAACTTTACTCCACAAGGAAGAATCCATGCCAGTGATAAGCTTAATGAAATGTGTGGGAACACCTTTACGTTTTGCACAAATCATATGAAACATCAGAGAAATTTCACTGGAAAGAAATGCAGAGAATATAAGGAATGTGGCAGAGACTTTGATCATAACTTTCAGTTAACTCAGTATCAGGTAAGTCATACTAATCAGAAACCCTATGAATGTTAGATATGGGGAAAGACCTTTAGAAAGGCCCTTCAAAAAATTATCCCTTCAAAAACACTGAAAAATTAATCAGAGATAATTACCTTTAAAAACTATTACTTAGGCCAGGCATGGTAGCTCACGCCTGTAATCCCAGTGCTTTGGGAGGCCACAGCTGGTGTACTGTTTGAGGGCAGGAGTTTGATACCAGCCTGGGCAAGATAGTGAGACCTCGACTCTATTGAAAAAATTTTTTTGGCCAGGCATAGTGGAGCAGTTCCTCAGTCTTTTTTGTCGTTTATGACATTGACATTTTTGGAAAATACTGGCCATTTGTTTTATAAAATATTCCATTTGAGCTTTTCTAATGTTTCCTATTAGATTCACATTATGTATGCTTTGGCACCCATATACTATACTACATTATACCATACTGTACTATATACACAGTGCTTTTCCATTTTATTTTAGTTTAGTTTTATTTTTCAGATGGAGTTTTGCTCTGTCACCCAGGCTGGAGTGCAGTGATGTGATCTCGGCTCACTGCAACCTCTACCTCCCAGTTCAAGCAATGCTCCTGCCCCAGCCTCCAAAGTAGCTGGGACTACAGGTGCACACCACCATGCCCAGCTAATTTTTGTATTTTTAGTAGAGATAGGGTTTCACCATAGTGGCCAGGCTGGTCTCAAACTCCTGACCTCAGGTAATCTGCCTGCCTCGGCTTCCCAAAGTGCTGGGATTACAGGCATGAGCCACCACGCCCCAGCCTTTCCCTTTTTATTAATAGTGCATCATATTAGGGCATCAGTAATCCTAACTTTTATCTCTTGATTAAAGTATTGTTGACCAGGTTTGTCCATTCTAAAATTATATTCCCCTTTTTAATTACTAAGTGTTTTGTGGGAAGATACTTTTAAGCTATGTAAATTATCAAAACCACTAATTTTTGTATTTTTAGTAGAGATGGGGTTTTACCATGTTGGCCAGGCTTGTCTCAAACTCCTGACCTCATGATCCGCCCACCTTGTAATCCCAAAGTGCTGGGATTACAGGCGTGAGCTACCGCGCTCGGCCCAGATTAGTATTTTCTAATTAAAAAAAAAGTTTCAACTGTAACAGTCTACTCATTTTTGGAATTACCGACAAGGTTTATGTCCATCAATGCTTTTATGTAATTTTCATTTAAGTTGCCTATTCAATATTCATTTTTCTTTCCTTGTCTTCTAATTTTAATTGATTACTGGTAATTTTTATAGATACCTTCACAAAAAGACACAAAAGACATAAAAGTGTATCATAAAATTTTGGGATGCTACCATTGTCTATTTTTGGAAAAGATAATTTAATCTCATAGAAATAACTGATAAACATTTAATGGTGATTATCTGTTCCTTCCAAATTTGCTTGGTAAACACTATGTCATACTTAAATTTTTTTTTTTTTTTTTTGAGACGGACTCTCACTCTGTCACCCAGCCTGGAGTGCAGTGATGCAATCCCAGCTCACTGCAACCTCTGCTCCCCCGGGTTCAAGCAATTTTCTGCCTCAGCCTCCCCAGTAGCTGGGACTACAGGCACCCACCAGCATACCTGGCTGATTTTTGTATTTTTAGTAGAGTCAGGTTTCACCATATTGGCCAGGCTGGTCTCAAACTCCTGACCTTGTGATCTGCCCACCTCAGCCTCCCAAAGTGTTGGGATTACAGGTACATGTACATGCCACCATGCCTAATTTTTTTTTCTTTTTTTTAAGAGACAGAGTCTTGCTGTGTCACCCAGGCTGGAGTGCAGTAGCACAATCTCGGCTCACTGCAACTTCCACCTCCTGGGCTCAAGCAATCCTCCCGCCTCAGCCTCCGAAGTAGCAAAGACCACAGGTGCGTGTCACCATGCCCAGCTGTTGTTTTTGTATTTTTAGTAGAGACAAGGTTTTGCTATGTTGTTCAGGCTCATCTCAAACTTCTGGGCTCAGGCGATCTGCCCACCTCAGCTTCCCAAAGTCATGGGATTACAGGCATGAGCCACAGGACTAGTTAAAAAAAAAAAAATTGTAGTGACAGGGTCTAGATATGTTGCCCAGGCTGGTCTCAAGTTATCATCCTGCTTCAGCTTCCCAAAGCACTGGAATTACAGATATGAGCCCTGTTTCCTGACAGTATTGATTAATTATAATAAATGTATCATATTAAAGTAAATGTTACTAGTAGGGGAAACTGGGTGTGGGCGTATGAAATTGTCATATCTTTGTATCTTATATAAATCTAAAACCATTGTAAAAACTAGTTCATTTAGAAAAAAAATTAATGACTTTTTTTTTGGCTTTTGTAACCAAAGAGTCCAAAGATAAATGGAGCTTCGAGTATGGCATGATCAAGATGTTCACTATGTCATCAGGTTTCAACACTGAACACTCAGCTCTCCCTTTGCCAGTGTTTTGGCTTTGACTTGAGGCCAATTTCCTCATGACTGCATCAGTTCCAGGCCTCCTATCTGGACATATCCCTTTCAGTACAAGAGGGAGAGCACCTTTGCCTAGCGTTCCACAATAAACCTCTGAGATTCACTTTGACTGGGTTAAGGTAATTGATATGCCCAATCGTAAACCAAGAGCTTCAGCGTGCAAGAAGCCCTCCCTACATGGAGGCACACACAGTCCCACATCTTTTGAGCTCCAGAGGTCAAAGCTCTGAGTGTGGCTGGGACCTGCTTCCCTTCTCTCTCATCATCTTGGGTCCAGTTAACCATCACCAATAACCTGGGAAACGGAAAAAATGGGACCTCATGGCCAAAGAGGCTGTTCACTGCTTATGGCACCCCTACAACTGGACCGGAGACTCTTGCCAGGGCTGGCACGTACAGGTACAAGCCACACTTACACTCCATTTATGACTCAATAATGACTTCACTTCGATCTCATAGTGAAATTCCCAACTGCTTCCACAGCACCAAGTCCCCAGCACAGGCAACACCTCCCCTGGAGAAGTCCCAGCCAACAAGCTCTGCCATTCTTCTCCCTGCAATTCTGCCCTGAAAATGTCTGGGCCTCAGTTCTGTGAAATAGGCAGGGCAATTTCTGCCCTACTCTGTAGCCACTTGAGAAATCAAGTCAAAGAATTTACTCACATACTGACATCCTGCAGGGTAAAGCTGTGCCTCTGTTTTTTTTTTTTTTTTTTTTTTTGAGACAGAGGCTTAGTCTGTCGCCAAGGCTGGAGTGCAGTGGCACGATCTTGGCTCACTGCAACCTCCGCCACCCGGGTTCAAACGATTCTCCTGCCTCAGCCTCCTAAGTAGCTGGAATTACAGGCACCTGCCACTATGCCTGGCTAATTTGTGTATTTTTAGTAGAGACGGGTTTCACCATAACGGCCAGGCTAGTCTCAACCTCAGGTGACCTGCCTATTTTGGCCTCCCCAATTGCTGGGGTTACAGGCGTGAGCTGTAACAAGGTAAGGCTGTACCTTTTATGGGTTGTTAGCAGCTCAATGTCTTGCTATTAAAACAAGAGGTTTACTAGATATATCCAAACATGAGAAGAGTGGGGCACAGGATTCTACTCCAGACAGCAACACCAGCTGTGTGGGCTCCTTCCCCACAGGGGTCACAGCAGTCCTGGGACAGATCACTGTAGAAGAAACCAGCACTCACAGACCAGGACTCTGTTTATGAGTTCACTCAGAGATCTAACTGCCCCATCTCCTACTCCAAGAGAAGGCTTATCATTGGTCCTGCATCACATACCTTGCATGGAAATTCTGTCTGTCTTCAAAGGCAACCCTGCAGTAATTGAAGCAAAGCAGATGTCTAATGCATCAGAGTGACCCAGTACCAGGCCACATCCCATTGACTATCAATGCCCAGCTGACCATGGGGCTTCTGGAATGGAAAATTCATGGAATAGGACAGTACATCAGATTCCTGTCAAGATCCCTCTCCATATACATACTAATAATTTTATAGTTGGTGAAAAGTTCATAGTTCTTTTCAAAAGCAAATCAAACTGTTAAAAAGGGTGTCACATTAAAGGTAGGTTTCTCTCCTATTCTGACCAGTCCCTCAGTTCTACCCCAGTCCTAGAAATCCACTTAATCATTTTCTTGCATCTCATTCCAGATATCCCATCCTCACACAAGCACATGTATGCATCTAAGTGTACTTCCTATTTTTTGCACTTTTTTTTTTTTTTACTTAAACAATTGTTATTCAATTCCCGTATTACTTTCTTAGAGACTATTTTATATTTTTCTATTTCCGAGACAGGGTCTCACTCTATTACCCAGTCTGGAGTGCAGTGGCATGACCATAGCTCACTGCAGCCTCAATTTCCTAGGCTCAAGCCATTCTCCCACTTCAGCCTCCTGAGTAGCTGGGACTACAGGTGCATGCCACCATGCCTGGCTAATTTTAAAAATTTTTTGTAGAGATGGGATCTCATGTTACCCAGGCTGGTCTCCAACTCCTGAACTCAAGCAATCCCCCTGCCTGCCTAGGCCTCCCAAAGTGCCAGGATTACAGGCATGAGCCACCACTCGCAGCCTCTTAGAGACTTTTTTTTTTTTTTTTGAGAATCAGGGTGTCTCACTCTATTGCCCAGGCTGGAGTGCAGTGGCGTGATCTCAGCTCACTGGAACCTCCGCCTCCCAGGTTCAAGCAATTCTCCTGCCTCGGCCTCCTGAGTAGCTGGGATTACAGGCGTGTACTACCACATCTGGCTAATTTTTGTGTTTTTAGTAGAGATGGGGTTTCACCATGTTGGCCAGGCTGGTCTCGAACTCTGGACCTCAAGTGATCCACCCAAAGTGTTGGGATTACAGGTGTGAGTCACTGCACCTGGACTCCTTTGACTTTTAAAGGTGTCTCAGTAGGCAATAAATTAAATGGTCAATTACCAGAAGGGTGAGGCTCTGGAGACAACAGCCAGCTATGGAAAGCCATCCAAATCATCTCACCTGCTCTTTTCTCCCTTCCAGTGAGCAGGGAACATCCCAGAGAGGCGAGGGTGAGATAGACTACACAAGCAGCCCAGACACTATCAGTGAACACCTCCAGTCCCATCTGTCCATCAAGGGGGCAGTGGGCAGCTGTGTCTCTCCTTTAGGAGCCAAGTGGAACAGCGAAGGGTCAGCAGCCAACAGAACCCGGTGGACAATGGGATCTTCTCTACGGTTGCATTCAAGTGCTGGAAACATCATTTCTTTGAAGAAATCAAGTGGCCAGACCAATTCTTACATCACCAACCCTGATGAGTCCATCTGGACTTAGTAAGAAAAGACGGATACAGCTGGAGGACCTTGAACTGTGGATCATATAGCGAAGTTTCAGCCTCATGCCAGTGGAAATGCTGCAGCCTCAGAGATCTGCAGATCAAAGACTGTGACGCCATCATGCTTATTTAAAGAGGCTGATAAGAGCCTATAAGTTCTCAGGGATAGCCATGCCCAGGCTAACCATAATCTAGATGCCCAGTGGTCCTGTCTCTACTTCGCACTCTCTCTATCAAGATCATTGTGATGTTTCGGAAGCATAAATATGAACCCAGCCCTCCCGTGTTTAATTCCTGCTCCCCATTACTTACAGAATGAAGTTCAAGTTCCTGTGCTTGGCATTCAGGGTCTTTGAAAATCTAGCCTTTGTTTACCCCTGTAGTTCCCCTCCCCACTCCCTAAAGGCACCCCACACTTCAGCCATGCACAGACATTTGCAAGTCCCCAAATGCTGACTGCCAGGTCATACCTCCATGACTCTTGAGTAAACAATCCTTTTTTTTTTTTTTTTTGAAATGGAGTCTTGCTCTGTCGCCCAGGTTGGAGTACAGTGTTGTGATCTCGGCTCACTGTAACCTCCACTTCCTGGGTTCAAGCATGTGCCACCATGCCCAGCTAATTTTTGCTTTTTTTTTTTTTTTTTTTTTTTGATGGAGTCTCGCTCTGTCGCCAGGCTTAAGTGCAGCGGTGTGATCTCGGCTCACTGCAACCTCTGACTCTCTGGTTGAAGCTATTCTCCTGCCTCAGCCTCCCCAGTAGCTGGGATTACAGACACACGCTACCACGCCCAGCTACTTTTATTTCTAGTAGAGACACGGTTTCACCATGTTGGCCAGGATGGTCTCAGGATCACCTGAGGTCAGGAGTTTGAGACCAGAATGCTTGGAGACATTGAATTTATCCAAGAGTTCATCTAGGAACAAAGGAGAAAAAACAAATCTCATTTGTTAGAATATTCCAAGTCCAGGTATGGAAGAAAATAAAATGCCTCTCCCTCCCGTTTCATGGTGTCCTATTCATTTCAATTTTCTGACACAGTCCTACAAGTCCATCATTTGGAAGTAACAGCAACCTTATTCCTTTCCAATTTTTTTTTCCTGCAATTGTTTTACTTGCCTAACACCACAGTCCTGAGGGTACACAAGGGCCAGATGCAGATAATCAAAATCCCAACACTCAGTTTCGTAGAGACCAACAAACCGTCTCCATGGAAAACCAGAACCAGAAGCGCTGCCCTAGCAAAAGCATTCTGGAAATAACACGGGACGAGGCAGAGCCACAGTCACAGATCCGATCTCAGGTACGTCACAAACGCAGACACAAACCGCACAGATCCCAGAGACCCCTACAGCCGGCGTCAGTGTCAGGCACCACCGCGCAGCTTTCTCTGCGGCACCATCACAATCCCCTGCAGGAGAACGGCACACGCGCACTCATCATCCCCCGTGCCCAGAAACACTACTCCGCCAGCGGCCAGGCACTCGGTCCAGGTGCGCGGGGGCGCGGCGGCCGTCACTCAGCAAACACCACAGGGAGCACCCGCCGCGCCTTGGTCCAGGCTCGCCACACTGGGGTTTCCTCCATCCAGCTCACCGCCAGGGTCACGGCTACAGGCCTAGGTTTGGACACTCCATCCCCATCGGGATCCTATAGCCAACCTCCACCCACCTCCAAATCTCCCGACCCCTCGGCACATGCGGCCCCACGCGTCTCCCTTGCTCCCTGAAGAGCCCCCAGGTTCGCCCCGCGCGCTTGCGCACTCCGGGCAGAAGCCGATTTCCAAAGGATCCAGTGAGGCGTCGCGGGGGGCGGGGCGGGGCTCGCAGCTTCCGCCTGGCGCCGAGCTGAGAACCAAATAAAAATAAAAAGCCGAAATATTGGTTTTTTAAGTTTTGGATCGCAGTGTCCACAGGGGAGCAGGCCCGGATTATCTTTAATGGCACTGGTCAGTCACGGGGCCCCCATTAGAAGTAGAGGCCTGAGGCAAGGGACACTACGTCCCCTCTGGGTGCACCTCCCCCGCCGCACTATCCCTGCCGAGACCCTGCCCCACGCGCCCCTCCCGCGCCGGAGCAGCCGCCGGACTTGCCTCCGCCCCCCGCGCGCTTGCGCATTCGCGACCGGGACAGGCGCTCTCCAGTATTCTGGCGCCGCTGACTCCAGGGCTGGACGATCCTCGGAGTCCGGTGAGGCCGGAGCTGGGAGCCGGGCGCCGCTGTGGCTGCTGCTTTTCTGAGGGAAAAGAGCGCGGGGTGGGTTATTTTGCAGGCAGGGCCGGAGGTGGAGAAAAGGTTCCTTTGGAGCCTCAGGCCGCTGTGCGTTTTTTCCCGGAACTGAGCTTCTGCAGCCCTGAGGCCTGGAGGCCCGGACTGCAGTAATTGTGCCGGGCCCGGTTCGTGGGTGCGGCCTATGGTGCAGTTGGAGACCCAGGCCCCGCGCATCCTCTTCCGCTCTTCAGATTTAGGCTCGGCCGTAGCGAAAAGGTCCAAGA